ACGTGAACATCGGACTTGGGACGAAACTGGGACTTGAGAGCGGTCCGCGGCTGGCCTCTCACGTGGCCGGGGTAGTCGCCAACGCTAAACAACAGCTGTGCGATGATGTGCGCCGCACGTCCTGAAAAGAGCCGCCGCCAGTGTGGCGCCCGCAAGGGTTGCTGACCTGTCGCCTTTCCAACATCAGCATGGCACGTTGCACCTTCCCATCTTACCACATCCAGGCTTCAGCATGCATCCTCGGCTCCTCGCGACGCCCCGTTTGTCCGGGGTAAGCTGCATGCACCGGCCATGAGAGGGCTTAAACGCCTCTGATGGGGTACCGTCCGAGCGCCGAGTACTTACTCCATATTGGGTTCCTGCGCGGGCTAAGTCTCCTCGGAGGACTCCCGGCTGCATGCAGTTTCGCCCCCCAGAGCTGGGGCGAATCCGCTCCCCTCCGTACCACAGCCCTGAAGTGATCACGAATGACTGAAAGAGATCTTGTCCAAACGAAACATAACACCCTGACATATAAGGTTCGCCAATGACCGTGCCGCTGGCAGCCAGCGATGAGGGTGGTAGTCGTGGACGCGTGATCGGGAGTTTCTGGTTGGCACGGGCCCATGTCGCTACATGTGGCCAGAACATGACGACAGAAAGTATATGCTACAGTTGTTTATTATTTTACGGCCATTTTTTCATCGGCTGTACTATAGTAGACTGCGGGGACAAAGCACGCTAAGCACGAGCAGACCTCGAATGATGCAATCGTCAATGATGAACATGTTCTTCCACCCTAAAAGTATGTGCGCGTGGCTCAAGGCCTCCCAGACGTCAAGTGTGACGTCTGCGAGTTATCTTCGCTTCCACCGACCGGGGTATGCTCTCCACACCCGGCAGTCTGTGTGATCGGGGTACCCTCTCCACACTGGGCAATCTATGTGACCTGGGTGTGCTCTCCACACTCGGCAGTCTGTGTGACCGGGGTACCCTCCTCCACACTCGGCAGTCTGTGTGACCGGGGTGTGCTCTCCACACTCGGCAGTCTGTGTGGATGGGGTTTGCTCAGCAGTCTGTGTGACCGGGGTGTGCTCTCCACACTCGGCAGTCTGTGTGGATGGGGTATGCTCAGCAGTCTGTGTGACCGGAGTGTGCTCCCCACAATGGGCAGTCTGTGTGACCGTGGTATGCTCTCCACACCGGGCAGTGTGTGTGACGGGAGTGTGCTCTCCACACTCGGCAGTCTGTGTGACCGGGGTATGCTTCCTACACTGGACACAACGCTTGTCCTCCATTCCCGCGTTTCGCCTTGCTCGTTTGAATCCTCTCCGACGGCAACCATACTAGGATCGCAAGGCCTCTGGCGGGCTGCAAGACATAAAAGGCTGTGCCGGGCGACCGGGGCGCGCTGACATGCGGTGTCGAGCTACATACGGCTTGCTTCTCGTGATTCAGTGCCCAGGGCCCATGAGGTCAGCTTTGAAAGGTTTGGACTGTCTTATCTCACATGAGATTGCTGGTTCACCTAACGGAATACACGAAGCATAAACTAGATCAAGTGCGTACAGGGCGACTTTGATCCGGATTTAATCGATGTCGATCCTTATTTCTGTCCAGAATCTACACCAGAGGCAGGCTGTTGATATGAACGGAGCGGTTTTGCGTAGCAAGGTATTCAATCTCACTCCAACAGATAAATCTTCTGAGGATGACGTACGTGCTGATGGTGCGGGTGGGGCGCGGCGCGGCGGGCGAGCGCCGGCGTCCGCCCGACCCCGTTCACGACTGGAGGCTTCATCCCGCGGCGTCGGCCCGGCCGCCGTGTAATGGCAGAGCCCGACGCGCCAGTGCCTGCACGCGATAGCCCCGATTGTAATTAACGGCCGAGTGTGTAACGAGCAGCCGGGCGGCGGTGAGAAACCGCCGTCGGCGGCCGCCGGCTGTCAGCCTCTGGAACGTGGCGCGAGACGCCCGGCGGACGGCGGCGCAGGGGAGACTGCGGCGCAGGGGAGACGGCGGCGCTTGAGAGACGGCGGCGCAGGGGAGACGGCGGGGCTTGGGAGACGGCGGCGCTTGGGAGACGGCGGCGCAGGGGAGACGGCGGCGCGGGGGAGACGGCGGCGCGGGGGAGACGGCGGCGCAGGGGAGACGGCGGCGCTTGGGGGACGGCGGCGCGGGGGAGACGGCGGCGCGGGGGAGACGGGGCATCCGGGAGACGGGGGCATCCGGGAGACAGCAGCGCCCGAGACACGGTGGCGCCCGGGAAAACAGCGGAGGGAGACGGCAGCAAAGGGGAAACGACGGTTCCCGGGGGACGGTGGCGCCCGGGAGACGACGCCGCAAGGGAGACGGCGGCGCCCGGGAGACGGCGGCGCTCGAGAGACGGCGGCGCAGGGGAGACGGCAGCGCAGGGGAGACGGTGGCGCGGGGGAGACGGCGGCGCCCGGGGGACGGCGGCACCGACCCGTCTTTCGTCATTTCGCCGGCAACGCCGGACCGTAGACGGATGCCTTCATATGAGCCGCAAGCACGCCACTGTGCCGACCTCGTCTCTGGGCGAGCCGCTCGCCTAGTGACGAGGGTGACCGGGTCAGTGCTCAGCCTTGGACGTGAGTGACGTGGCTGACCCACTGCGAGTGGGACTTGAACTGGTCCGCGGGCGCTCCTCGCATGCACAGCACGGCGGGTTTCGCCACGCGGCTCACTAACCCGGCGGCCGGTTTTGGTGGCGTTGGCGGTGGGCCCGGCCGCGATGCGCATGCTCCGCTGCAGGCCGGGCATGACGGCAGCCGGACTCGCCGTCAGTCTGCCGGTTAATATTCATCACACGGCGCTGTCGTCATTACCGATGAGCTATCGCCAGTGGGCTGAAAGATCCGAATGATTGGACTAATTGAGGTTTGGGTTATCGGTTTTAACCGCAGCCTGGCGTGCGGTTAACGCCAGCCGCCGTTATCCTCAACTGAATCGCTAGGACACCTCGAGAAACCCCACCCTCAATCTGATAACTACACTCGGCGGCTGGGTCGATTCCATTTGGTGAAGCATTTCAAAGGTCTGTAGGGATTTGGCGCCTCATTAGGCGCTGTGAAGGCCAGTTAGGTTCCGATTCAGGAGGGAGGGACAGGCCGCCGGCGGCGCCGCTGGCGGCCGCGGACGGGCGCATGGCGCCGGTCGGCGCGCGTGCGGGCGGGGCCTTTGATCTGCCGCGCCCAGACTCCGGCTGCAGGACAGGCGGCGCCGCGGGCAGATGAAAGAAGCCGGCGCCCGCGGCTGCTTCAGAAGTGGGGCGGGGGGAGAGGGAGGGAGTCGGTATCCGCCAGCGACCGGACGCCGCGGGCGGGCAGGCCTTCGCAGCCCAGCCCCTTATGTTTGTATCGCCGACCAAGGGTGACCTTCAGACGGCGGGTCGCGGATTCGTGCCGTAGTACGGTTGACCTGAAGACGCAGCCGCCATCTTCGGTGTGTTTATGGATCAGTCGCGCCGTCCTCGAACCGGCAGGGGGACCGCGAGTTCGGACGGCACACCACTTCTGACGTGGCAAACTCGGGTCCCTGGCGTTCTGCTCGTTCCAGCGCGCCGCGACTGCCGCCGCCACGGTCGTCACCGCTGAGTAAAAGCTCGAGCCGACTGCGCACCGCAACATGCAACTGAGGTGGCCGACGAAAACTAGCCGGCAATTAGCCGCCTGTGAGGGATAATTATCCGCCGGCTGCGGCAACATAATACTCTTCACCGCCGGCGTGGCGTGGCGGGGTCAGTGACCCGCGGCGGTCGCAGACGGCGAGAATGCGGCCGGCGGCGCTGCTTGGGGCCGTCCCTGCCGCCAATCACAGCCGGGCCTAAGGATAGGGGTGCCGACCACCAGCCAGCCAATGGCAAGAAGTATGCGACGGGCTGGGCATTGGTAACGTGTTTTCAAAGCGGGTGGGGGGGGGGGGGGAGGCAAGCCAGTTGTGATCATTGTTGATGGCCTATCGCTTGTTCACTATGCATAATGTAGTATATCATCGGGACAAGACCCCAGAAAGACAATGGAGGTTCCGTGACTTATGACGTCACGTGACGTGACGTACCATTTTTCAACAGCAGAGGCGCGGACGATTGCCGGCGTCGTCCTCAGTGCCTTTGTTTATCCTCAGAGGAACGCTGCCCATGCCACCCGTCCGCCATAAGCTGTCTCAGTGTTTGACCAAAACATAAACCAATCTTCAAACCCACCAAAGCTGGAAAACCCTGCATGATCTGGAGAAATCTGGTCTCTAGCCCCCCCCCCCCCCCCCTGGTGGATCTTATGAAACCCTGATCACGGACATGAGCACGGACGCGGAAACATAACGATCGCATAAACGATCACGCTTAGAGAGCCATTGATGTGGCCCAGCTGGTGTAACGGATGCCGTAACGGCGCTCTATGGGGCCGTCTTCAATGGCGGCGTGCTCAAGTGGGTGCGATTTCAAGAGCGGCTGGTATGACCGCTACGATCCCTGCCACATCACGCTCTCCACCCATATAAGTGGAGCCGCGTCGAGCGGAAAGATAACTGTTCGGCGGCCGATCAGATCCCCTTCGGTGCAGGCGGAATGCACCGTTGCTGGCGGCGCGATCGCCACATGCTACAGCTGATCATTGGCATGGCTGCTTGGGATCACCGCGATACGCAGCCCATGCAACGAACCTCATGGATACCAGCGCCTAATTACCATAGCCTTGTGGCCGTTATCCCCGCTAAGTCGGGGTGTGCGGTCGGCGTCAGGGGCGCTCGTGCGAGGCCGGCTGCACGTGAGGGTGGCCGCCGGCCACCGGCGCCGTCTCAGGCGGTCCCGGCTGTGACCAGGCCGGTCCGCGGTCCCTGGCCGGTCCGCGGTCCCTCGGTCGGTCCGCGGTCCTCGGCCGCCGACCGCGCCGACCGGGCGCGCCAGAGGACGCCGCGAGGTCAGGCCGGGTCAGCCGAGGCGTGACCCGGGCCGGCCGCGGCCGCGGCCCGCAGCGGCGCGTCCGGTGATACCCTTCGCGATGGGAGCAGACTTTCCTGTAACGGTGACGGGCGATGTGGCCCGTGGGTGGACGGACCGCTGTCGCCTCGCGTGAGGCGCCTGGCGTGCCGTTTAGATGTTTGTGGACTACATTTGGTAGTGTTGTGCATGCTTTGTCTTGTAAGTATTGTTTAATTTTCTGTGCAATTTGCTTTCCAGATTCTATCCTTCGGGCTGCCATGCGATTTTATGTTAAAAAAGTTCGGTGTCTTTTTAATCGACTTCGCCACGGCCCCACAAAAACCCAGGCTGAAAAGCTGCAGAGGGTTAAAAGCGGGCTTGTTTCATACGCCCGAAAGTAGATCAATTTTACTGCTGTTAGGTACCAAAATCTGTATCAGTTTTCACCATACATAGCCTTACTTGGCTCGTCCAAGCAGTCCGAGGAGCCACCTCCGTGAAGCACGTGTGTGGCCTTGGTTTCCCGTGCCAGGTGCCCGGGACGTGTACGGTGACAAACACGTGACGTCCAGCCCGTGTGGGTGGGCGGGCATCACTAGCGGCCCCTCTGCACGGAGTCCCGGTCCGCCAGGTCAGCCTGCCGCATCGACTCTAAGCATCCCCTGACCGCCCGCCTCCGTCGCCGGCAGGTGACGTGCTGAGTGGCGTCTGTTACGTCGGCGTCTGGAACATGCCGGCCCTGCGCGGCTTCGTGCTGGCGCCGCTGGTCGTCTACCTGGCGCTGGGCACCGTCTTCCTGCTGGCCGGCTTCGTCTCCCTCTTCAAGATCCGCACCATCATGAAGCACGACGGCACGCGCACCGACAAGCTGGAGAAGCTGATGATCCGCATCGGCGTCTTCTCGGTGCTGTACACGCTGCCGGCCACGCTGGTGATCGCCTGCTTGTTCTACGAGCAGGCGTTCCACGACCTGTGGACGCTCGGCTGGCAGGAGCAGCACTGCGGCCCGCGCTCAAAGTACGCCATCCCGTGCCCGCCGCGCGCTGCCGCCGGGCCGCGGCCGCAGCCGCGCTTCGCGTTCTTCCTGGTCAAGTACGTGATGCTGCTGATCGTCGGCATCACGTCCGGCTTCTGGGTGTGGTCGCGCAAGACGTTGCAGACGTGGGGCCGGCTGTGCGGCCGCGACCAGGCAACGCCCGCCTACCTGGGGCCGGACGGCCGCCCTGTCCGGCCGGGCCGAGTCTGAGCCGGCTGTGCGGCCGCGACCAGGCAACGCCCGCCTACCTGGGGCCGGACGGCCGCCCTGTCCGGCCGGGCCGAGTCTGAGCCGGCTGTGCGGCCGCGCGCAGCGCCGCCTAGGGCCGGCGGCCGCCCGTCCGGACGGCCGATGGGCGGCTGGGCGGCGCGCGACCAGGCAACACCCGCCTACCTGGGGCCGGACGGCCGCCCTGTCCGGCCGGCCAGGAGGGCTGCGGCCGGACAGCAGCGCCCGCCTCCTGGCCAGGCCGCCCGGGCCGGCGGGACAGGGTGGTAGGAGACGGCCGGCCGGACCGGCCGGGAAGTGGCGAAGACCGGGACAGCGCCGCGGGTCCCACCGAGCCCTGCCGCCGCTCGGACCGCGGCGGGATGGACGGCGGCCAGAGACTAGCGCCGCTGCTGAGGGCGCTGGCGTGCTGTGCGTGCAGGGGTGCTGTGCGGCGATGCACCTGAGTGACATTGTATGGCTGAGCTCCTGTCGCGCGTGTTCAGGACCTCGTGGCGGCGGGCGCCGGCTGTACGTGGTGTGCGACGTCTCCGTGCCGCCCGGCCAGCCTGTGGCAGAGCCAGCCGGGGCACGCGAGGCCAGTGCCGCCCTCTCGCGGACACCGCGGCCAGTTGGGACGGCCAGGCTCGTTGGGTGTCGCGCTGGAGGATTTGGCGACAGTCTGTGATGTGGATGACTCGCGACTATGGAATGCCGAGCGTTTTAATGTTCCTTGATGCGACACGGCCGCTTATTGTGCGCGCGCCCTCGTGTTTTGCAGTGGCCTCCCCCGGCCGAATCTCATCAGCTCAATGACCCATGCCAGTGGTCCGGTCGGGATGAGCGCAGCCTGTGATGAGATCCTCGGGCAACAGGAATGTTTTCACGGACTCGCCAGTGTGACGCGAAACATACGCGAGCGTGGGAGCGTCCGGACGCCAATAAAGGAGCCCGGATACGACCGTCGGGCTACTGACACTTGGTTGTCTGAGCAGAACTAGCGAGAGGAGCTAGCTTTGGCGTTAGAGCACCACCGCGCCACCGCGCGCCCCGTTGCTATGGCCCAACCGACAGGGCCGTCAGTTCACCCCACGCTCCCTGCACAGGTCCGTAAGGCGACACAACCAAACCACGCTGCACGGATGTCGGGACGACGCGCCGTCGCGCACGAGCGGCTTCCCGGGCGGGTCAGACGAGGTCGTGGCGCCTTTGATTTATTGTACTGAATAATTCAACACTGCTGCCGGCTCGGGAATACAACAGTAACAGTCTCGCGCACCGTGCACGGGGATAGCACCGCGTCGGTGACGCAGCGGCCGTCGCTTACGCCACCGCCGACACGAGGGACATATCGGCAGAACCGAGCCGCGCTCCTCCGCCAGCGACGCCTGCCATCCCTGGAGGAGCCCACCTGACTTTCTCGCATTCGCTGTCCCGATATGTCGCTACTATGTACACGTTACAAAAGTAGATATCTTACAGGTACGCCACGAACAAAATCGGCCACTTGACATTAGGATGGTGGAGTCTGCTGGCGGCGGCCAGGCTTTCTGGAGCGGCCAGCACAGACTGATGAAACAACGAGCTCCACTCAGCACTCAGGAACTCGTGGTCTGGGTTACCTACCTGCCTGACGAACGGCACCTCATCACACGACGTGCCAGACTCACATCACGTGGCCAGCGACGACCCAAAAACGACCAGTCAACTACTCCCGCGTTATGAGGATATTGCGGTCGTTCCCTTGCAGCTGAGACACCAGGTGGGGGTGTTTTTTTTGTACAGGTCACGATCGGGTCACGTGGTGGCCGAGATCAAGCGGGCCGGCCGTCGTCGCCAGCCGGCGTCACGGCGTGAGGGCCCCGCCCCGCTGCAGGCCAGTCGGACAGCGCCGACCCGGCTGAACTAATCCGCGTCCAACACGCCACTGAACGCAGCCGGCCGCCCCGGCCTGTGCCCGATCGAGGGCAGGGGGCAGAGATAGCGCGAACCACGCAGGCCTGTCCGTTTCGGGGAGTTGTCAGCGCAGTGGCGGGTGGTTCGGTTCCTCGCTATACATCGAAGTGACAGGGGGGGGGAGGGGGCGGGTGACAAAGGACGCACCCAATCTCAGCTGGACCATCTCCAACATTGCCAAACGACGTCAGGCGCTTATAGGTCGCCGGCTATCGCCTAAACTCAGGCGAAAGCGGTGCCCCAGGTTTGTGGCGGTTTGCGGCTGCTTTACATTGCAAGGTGTATCACACATGACAGTTTGAGGAAGGTCGCTGGAAGGTCACTTCCTGCCCGGCGTGACTGAAAGGTGCTGTCCTCACCGTTCGGTTACCTGAGTCGGGTTCTAAGCGCCTGTTCCGCCAACGGAACTCCTCCGGCGTCCAATTCCACGCGCTATTGCACACCCGGGAGTCCTGCCCTGGTGCCGGTGAACACTCAGACCCGCGCGTCGCCGCGAGGGCCGCCGCTGCAGCCCGCCCCCCGAGCGCTGGGGCCGGGCTCCCCGTCCGGCCCAGCCGCACCCGACGCCGGTCGATCACCACGAGCGCGAGGCCGCGAGACGACGACACGGCACGCCACAGCCCGGCCGCCGCCGGCGCCCCGCCCGGCCGGTGCCGCCCGCCGCTCGACCGCGGCGCCGGCAGCGAGGCTCAGCCGCCGGACCGGGACGGCTGCGGTCCGGGCGGCGGCGACACGACGCGCCACAGTCCGACGCGCCGTCGGGCGGCTCGGCCCTGCTGTGACGTCACAGCCCGACGTCCCCTCAGGCGGCGTCTTCGGCGGGCGGCTCGGCCGAGCCGGCGGTCCGAGCGCCGCCAAACTCCGCCTCGTCCGGCAGCGGCTCCTGGCCGTACACCTCGCCGTAGCGGCTCATGTACTTGCGCACGTAGTAGCGCGCCTTGTGCTTCACCGGCTCGCTCGGCAGCAGCTCCTCCACCTTCTTCACGTTGCGAAGCTCCTTCAGCAGCACGTGGTGCGTCAGCTGCAATAGGAACATTGGCGACGTCAGCAGGCTCTAGAGACGGTGACCCGCTATAGCCGCCGCTGCAGAGCGACGTGAGTGCTGGGCTGAGTGCCGGCTGCAGCGGAGCGGACGCCGCTGATCTCACAGAACCACTGGCGGACAGCGCGCCCGCCAGACGGCCTTCGCCGCCGCCTGTTCGGCGACCGGGCCCGAGCAGCCCCGCAGACACAGGCTCAGCACGACCACAGGCCAACAACACGACAGTGATCTCCCGTCTACAGGCTTTTTTTACAAACCTCCGCTATCGGGTAAGGGCGCGGCAAAACGGGGGGGGGGGGGGGGAAGGGGCTCTCAGCGCTCCACACGTAAACCGGTTCGCTGCCACCAGCAGTGCGGACACACTATATGTTGTCACGGCTGCGGGCCAGCGGCCGGCGCGGTCGGAGCGCCACGTCGGACGGCGTCTGCCGACCAGCACCGCCGCCGGCCGTCGGCAGCCCGACGCGTCGCCGCCGGCCGCCTGCCCACCTTCTTCGCCAGGTGCTTGAAGTCGTCGGTGGACGTGATGCGGCCCTGCTTGCAGGTCGGCTTGAGGTAGTTGTTCAGCACGGAGACCACGACCGCCGACATGTGCACCAGGAACTTGTCCTTGATCTGCAACGGTAGCACGCACCACGCGGTGACCCGATCTGCCGTCCGAACAGGGCGCACCGCGGCCGGGTCCGGAGCCCCGTACACCATGAGCAGGGCCCATTCAACCAAGTCCATTGCTGCTTCCCTATCGCTTGCGCGGATCGCCCTTACTGGCGCCGACGATCAGACGATTTAGTTGTCAGGCACCACGAACAGGACTCGGGGGTCGACGGTTTGAGATGAAGAAATAAACCGCTTATTCTGCAGGTTTGCCCAAATTAGACGTAATTCCCACACACACGCAAAGGTACGAGCAATCCCGACAGCTACCAGCCGATAAGGCAGTCGAGAGGATGAAAAGACTACAGTCTGAGCACAGAGCAGGTTTTTCCTGGACGGGACGGAGCGCAGTGATGGAGACCTATCACGACCGCTCAGCCGGGCGCGCTGCATGTCACGGTCGGCTGCCAAAGAGCAGCCACCGTCCGTCTCAGCTCATGCCGATCCGGTTAGGACACGGCGCAGAACACGACGGCCAGGCGGGCCTCCACACCGCCGGCCAGCCACGCGACGGCCGACAAAACACCAGGCGAAGAAAGGTTCGCTGGTAATAGCTCGCCCACAAGGCACTCGGTTCTAGTTCCCACCACGCATGATGCTGTCGAAAAGATACCCATCCCGCAACCGTGAAGTACGCCCCACACTTCCCAGAAGCTTCCAGTTTGCGGGTTTGGCAAACTATGGGTACTTACATAGAACAGGTAACGGGTTGGGATTTGGTTTTGGGAAAATTACGAGCATAAGTACGGGTTCGGGTAAGTAGGTTACAAAGTAGTGGGTAGATGCCTCAAGAAACACAGCACGTTGCTTGTTCTTCTGTGTTTCTTTAAGGCATGATTAGCTCAATTCACAATGCGTTTGCAATCGCCAATGTAAAAAGTTTAAATTTGGGCGTAAATTTTCCTGCACCCTTTCCTCTTTAAAACTTGAGTGCTCCCAAAGTACATAGGGTGGGTAACGCGTGGGTACAGGTGATCAGGGATGGGCAGCGGGTGAATATTGGGCAAAGCATCGCGGGTAGCGGGTGGATTGGTCGATATCATTTGATCTGCGAAAGCCTCTCCTTCCATGCCGCGAGAAAGAACAGCAAACCCCACTGACCCCCATCTGGGCCGGTGTGTGGGCTGGCGGCGGCATCGGAACGTGACCGGATGTCGTCGCCGCGCGCCCGGCATCTCCGGCCGGACGCGCCGCCCGCGGCGAGCCCCTCCCCTCCCTCCCTCCCGGCAGCGGGGCTGACCTTCTTGACGCCCTCGGAGCTGGTGTCGGCCGCGGCCGTGGTCGGCCTGACCCGGGCCGGCGCCGCCGCCGACGAGGATGACCCGGCCGACGGCGCCCGCTTCGGGTCCATCTTACGCCTCTTGGCGGCGGCCGCCTCAGCCTCGGCCTCGGCACGGCGCCGCTCGCGGGCCCTGGGGTCAGGTCAGGGTGACGTGAGGGCTCCGGCTCGACGCCGCTCGCTGGCCCTGAGGTCAGGTCAGGGTCACGTGAGAGCTCCGGCTTGGCGCCGCTCGCTGGCCCTGAGGGCAGGTCAGCGTCACGCGACAGTCTTGGTGCGGCGCCGCTCGCGGCCACGAGACCTAACCTCGAGCAGCACACAGCGGTACCACGTGACCTCCACGATATCGTCTTTAAACTCAGCTTGCAGCGCCGCACCGCCCCCTACCCTCCACTTACGCGCGCTTCTGGTGGCGCCGCCCAATGACTCCCGCATTATCTTAGATTGTGGCTCCTCCCATGGTCCCCGCCTGCTCCCGGTACCGGGTGGCACCCCCCCCCCCTCCCCCCACTCCCGTTCGCTCCTGGTGCCCCGCCCCCAACTCCCGTCCGCTCCTGGTGCGCCCCCCTCCAACTCACGCCTGCTCCTGGTGGCGCTGCAGCGCCTGCTCCTTGGCCTTGAAGCGGCGGATGGCCTGCTCGCGGATGTGGCGCACCTCGTCGGTGGGCGAACGCGCCGCGCCCTGCTGCTGGCGGCGCCTGTGCTTGCGCAGCAGGCGCTCACACTCGCGCTCGCGGCGGCGCTCGCGGCGCGCGTCGGCGCGCTCCTGGCGGCGCTGGCAGCGCGCCTCTTCGCGGCTCGGCTCGGGCGGCGGCTGCGGGGAGAGGGCGGTGCTGAGTCACGACGTCGGGCGGCCACGGTATCACGCGGCCGGGCGACAGCGTCAGGCTGGGTGGCAGGCGGGCACAGCAGCCGTCTCAGCCCCCAGCTGATGACGGTGCTGTTCCACTCCGATGAAACGCTCTGTGATACATGTGATCAAAACTGGCATGCCCAGCAAGGGCTGGCGCATGCATAATGCTTCGTGGCGGCACGCTGGTAGTCATCGCTTTTATTTAAGCTCGATTTACACAGATTTAAGCTCGGTGTTGTGTCCGAACTGTTAGTTGAACAACGCCAATGAACCAATGCACGAATGAGTGTGTAGAACATGCGACACATAACCCTCATTGGCACATGACCCAGCGCGTCGGCCGAGTCGGCCGTCCGCGCGGCCGGCGGGGCGCAACTCACGCTGGGCGGCCGCTCGCGGAGCGGGTCGAGGCGGCGGCGGCGGCCGGCCTCCATGCGGCGCACCCAGTCCTCGCGAATCTCGCCCTCCTCCAGCTCCTCGTCCTCGTCGGCGGTGAGGCGCGGCGGCGGCGGCGGCTCCGGCACGCGGCTCGCCCGCTCCTGCCGGCGCCGGACAGCCAGCGGCTCAGACCAGCGAGAGCGGCAGCGACGGCGGCTCAGACCAGCGAGAGCGGCGGCGACGGCGACTCAGACCAGCGGGAGTGGCGGCTGATGGCGGCTAAGACTAGCCGCAGGGGCGGTTTCAAACGCAGGCGCGCATGTAGTAGGCCACCAGAGTCGCGAGGGCTTCGAACACAAGTCAAGCTATGCAGCAGTCAGCGCCCTAAGGAGGCTCCACAAACAAGTCAAACTATTGAGCTCCACCGATTCCAGCAATGCCCACAGTGACCGTGCGCCGATAGCCACACGAAGTCAGCACATTTCGTCTTACACAGTGATCCCGGAGTGATTCAGCTCCAACGGCTGTGCTCAGTTTGGACGGCAACATCGCGCTGTCCGTACGGGACACTATATCCACCGGGCCAGAAATGTACCCCGTCCATGCCGAGCGGCGGTCCCCCGGGCCGTCGACACCACACCGGCTGTGAGGGGCCAACAGTCGCGGTTCTGCCCGGCACCATGGCCGGCCCAGCCCGCGCACCTGGCTAGTGGAGCTGCTGGAGCTGGAGCAGCCCGAGCCGGAGCTGGAGCTGGACGAGCTGGACGAGCTGGAGCTGGAGTCGGACGCAGCCGGCGAGCCGCCCGTCGGCGGGTCGGCCACTGTCGTCGAGTCGGGGTAGGCCGGTGGCTCCCAGCGCGACTCGAACGTCACCTGGCGAGCGGGCCGGAGACGGCCGACAGGTGAGGGCGCGCCGCTCCGGCGCCGGCGTCGGACGGTGCACACCGCGGCGCTCGGACGGCCGCACCACGCGGCGGTGCCGGTCAGCCAGGCCCTCCCAATCGCGTGGGGGAGCGGGACGGGTCGAGCGACGCATTCGGCAGCACGTCGGACGTCAAGTCGTGAGAACCGAGCTCAGATCTAGCGAGGTGCGTGCGGATTTCGCTAACCCAAGTCGCAGCTGCAGATATTAGTGAAAGACGTTGTCCGATGATGCCAACTGCAATACAACTAACGGAAAACGACTGCGTCGTAATGCGCCACCTGGTGACGCCAACCCTCACAAGAACGCGGCGATGGACCTCTCGTGAAACTAATATATTTGATCAGGTTAATAGGAGGTAGATAGTGTAAATGAAGATGGTAGCAAGCATAGTCGTGTGTGCCCGATGGCAGTAACTTTTGTCATACCCTGCATTCCTAAAAATGTGACTGGCCCCTGCATCTCGTCAGATGAAACCCCATCTGCCATCATTATTACATCCCTAATCACACAAACATGAAGCTGGGCAACTTAAGTAAAGACTCTTGACGCTTGGAGCCACTGATAAACAGAAGCCGTCCACCAAACCATTCAGTAGATGGTCTGTACGTCCGGCGTGCGAATGACAAACAGCACATAGCCTGGGTCCCGCTCCCCGGCAGCAGCGGCACCAGCGGCGGGCGGGAGCCGACCTGGTGGTAGTAGTAGACGCGGCCGGCGTCGTCGGTCGCCTGGCGCCAGTTGGCCGGCAGCCGGACGCTGGGCTCGGGCGGCGGCGGCGGCGGCCGCGCCGGCTCGCGCCGCGCCGGCTCCGGCTCCTGCGGCAGCGGGATGTCCGACACGGGCTCGGCCAGCGCCGTCAGCGGCGCCGGCGCCGGCGCGTCGCCCACGAACCTGCCGGCCAGGGCGCGGCCGTCAGCGGTGCGCAGACGCCGTCGCGCGCGCAACGCCGTCGGGGACCTGCTGCAGCGCACGGCGGTTATCCGCCACGCCGCAGTCATTGCCACCTCGCTGGCATTGACGTGTCTCCAGGTTCGTTGCGGCTTTCAGGCTCTGGTGTCAGCGCGCTAAGGAGTGTGTTCGCGAGATACTTTGGAACTCTGGCATCGGAAAAGAATCCAGTGCGTTGGCTCCACTGACACTAGCCACCCCTGCCTGATCTGCTGGAAGTCATCACCTAAACAGTAGGCGATGACTCCCGTTTGTGCAGTAACATTTCAGACAATGACGGACCACGGACCGCACCAACTGGGGCAGCTCCTGCACAACACAAACCGGCCTCCATCCGTCACCCAGTGCCGCCGAGACCACTGGTTAAGCCTCGGCGAGGACCCACCTGCCGGACACCTGAGCGCGCAGCAGGTCCATGATGCCCATGCTCGGCAGCCGCTCGGCGAGCGAGGGCCGCGGCGGCGACGTCGGCTCGCCGGTCGACCTCCGCCTCTGGGCGGCGCTGAGACGCGGCGGCGGCGGTGGCGGCTCGGGCGGCGCGGCGCCGCTGGACGACGGCGGCCGGCCGCAGCTGACCGGCGCCGGTGGCGAGCGGCCGGCCGACGGGCGCGGCTGAGGCGGCGCCGGCGCCGGCGCCGGCGGCGTCGTCGCCGCCGCCGCCGCCGCCGTCGGCCGCTGCTGCGCCACCTTCTCCAGGTACTGCTGCGCCTGCAGCAGGTCCACGGCCGCCATGCTCTGCCGACAGCGGCCCCACCACGCAAGGTCAGCGTCGCGCGGCTCTGATTCAGGGGCAGCGAGCCAGCATTGGGGAGACACGACCCTCACAGACGCCTCGGCCGGAGGCACCGAGGTCAATCAAACAACCGAGACAAACGACAACACCGCGACTGGCGCATGTCGGCTACGGCTGCGGCACATATCACCCAGGTACATTCACGGAGGGAACCAGACACACACACGCTTCAGCTGTGGCGGGCACTGATAACGCGCAACGCATTCAACTCCAGACATTGCCACGCACCAGGTCCGTTTTGACCAAGCCTGTCGCTATGCTGACAGCGCTGACAGCCAGCCAGTGCGCCATGCACGCTGACCAAGCACAGCCAGTGCTGACCTGACCCAGTCCCAATCAGGTCAGGTTAGGTTAGGTCACGTCAGGTCAGACTGACCTGACAGACGGCCAGGTGGTGCGGCAGGGCGGCCATGAGCGCGGGGTCGGCGCCGGCCGCCGCCACCAGCGGCACGGCCGGATCGCCGGGCGTGTACGGCTGCCACGCGCCGGCGCTCGGCTCCCAGTAGTACCTGACGATGCGGCGGTCCCGTCAGGAGACCGATCAGCCGTCGAGGCGGCGTTCGACCCGCGAGACAATAGCCCGGCGGGCGGTCGAAGCCGCGCCGACACGTAACGTCATCACTACAGAGCAGCGCGGCTCCCTAGCCGTCCGTGCGCTAGCATCGTGCGTGTGTTCAGCCAGACGCGGCTTGGGTGCTTCCCTCGCTCGCGCCCGCGGCCGGCCCACTCACTGAAAGCTAGCGTCGAAGATGGGCGTGAGGTACGGGTCGAGGCCGAGCAGGGCGCAGCGCTCCTCGTGGCCGCTCCACAGCTCCTGCTGCTGCTCCTGCTGGCGGCGCTGGTCGTCCGCCGGCTCATCCGGCTCGGTCGGCGGCTCGTCCGCCTGCGCCAGCCGCTCGCGCTGTCGCCGTGCCTCTTCCTCCTCCCGCTGCACCTCCAGCGTGAAGAGCTTGCGTCGCTCTTGGGTGGTGAGGCCACTGGCGGAAGGGCGGACAGCGGAGGCAGGTTAGTTCACAGAGCAATACGGACACCACGTGCTGAGATCCTCCAGGGTCATCATGTGCGGCCAGCTCGGGCTACATCACCACAAAGCCTCCACGGTAGACACAGCGACTTACTGCGGCGGGAATGTCGGTACCGGTGACGACTGATGGGTACAGAGCGCATCCCCAACACGTAGGGGACGGCGGGACGCAGAGGCGCATCAGCGGCGGCGCCCCGGGTGGTGGGTGCAAAGGGGAACCACCGACGAAACAGAAGCGTGAGGATAGCGAAGGCACGCGTCACCGCACCTGAACGGGTAACGATTGTAACCACACTTCGAACAACAAGTGCAGTGTCACCTTTTGAGCGAAACATCGTGCTGGTGTCAGACTCCGAGCGGCTTTAAGGTACACTTTTGAGTAGCATTCACCAGCAACTGAGAAGTCGATGCTTATGACCACCGCACCAAGGATGGAGTCCTGAACTACCGCCGGCGGCAAACATGGAGCGGCAGCACCAGCAGTCAGCATCAACCAACACGCACACATTGGGGAAAGGGATAAGAGGGCAGAGGGGGATGGGAGTGGGCAGAGGGGGGATGGGAGCGGGCGGAGGGGCACTGCTCGTCCAGGCCAAGCGGAGGAGAGATGGGAGCGGGCGGAGAGGGATGGGAGGGGGGGGGGGGGGCGGAGGGGTACCGCTCGTCCAGGCCGAACGGATGGGTACCGCTCGTTCAGGCCGGATGTCGCGACACACCCACCTGTCGCTGAAGGCGCGGTACTTGCTGGCGCGCCGCTCGGCCGGCTCGGGCGACTCCCTGCCGCGCTTGTGCCGCTCCGGCGAGCAGCCGTAGCCGCGCTTCGCGTGCAGCGAGCTGGCGCGCGTCTGCTGCTCCAGGTACGTCTGGTAGCCGCGGTCTGCGGCACACGCGCCGGCGGGACAGTCATCACACCGCCCGGCGAGCCGCGGCCGCCTCATCACGCACGAGTTTCGGTGGGCCAACGCTCGGCGACTGTTCCGCGCGGCGGCGTCTCCCAGGGGGCCGAGGAACAGACGCAGACGGAAGGCGTCACTGCAATGGCGGTGTACACAGTGTACACGCGGTGATGGTGGTGAGGAAGAGTTACGTCGCACTGTGCCCTCCATCGGAGTGAACACGAAGTGGACGAGGCGCATCGATGTCAGACGCCTATGCCGGCGACGGTTACTCGGCCACGGCGATAGAACGGGCAACAGTGGCCGCACAGTGCCCTCACCACCGCTGCCCGGCGGCGGCGACAGACACGGGCAGCGGAGACAGGCAAGAACAGCGGAGAGACAGACACGGACGGCGGAGAGACAGGCACGGGCAGGGGAGAAACAGACACGGACAGCGGAGAAACAGGCACGGGCAGCGGAGAGACAGACAAGGGCAGCGGAGAGACGGACACGGGCAGGGGAGAGACGGACGCGGACAGCGGAGAGACAGGCACGGACAGCGGAGAGACAGGCACGGGCAGCGGAGAGACATGCACGGGCAGCGGAGAGACAGGCACGGGCAGCGGAGAGACGGACACGGACGGCGGAGAGACGGGCAAGAACAGCGGAGAAACAGACACGGACAGCGGAGAGACAGGCACGGGCAGCGGAGAGACAGGCACGGGCAGCGGAGAGACGGACACGGACGGCGGAGAGACGGACACGGACGGCGGAGAGACAAGCGCGGACAGCAGAGACAGGCATGGACAGCGGGGAGACAGGCACAGACAACGGAGGCACAACCGGAAACGGCGGAGAGGGCAACAGAAGCGGCGGCGGGGGCGGCTTACCGGCCTCCTTCTCGTGCTCGCGCATCCGCTGCAGTCGCTCCTTCTTGGGAATACGGAACACGTCCTGCAGCATCGACCAGGCGCCCAGCAACTGGGAGGCCAGCTCCGCGATCTGCCAAATGGCGGGCAACAGCGCCGCGCTCAGTACCTACACTGCGACGACGCCGGCTTGTGTGTAAACCGTCGTTCATCTCGCCGCACACAGCTGATGTCAGGTTTCACTCGTTTTGCGCGTCAGTAGGGCGCAGTCTACGCTAAGCTGCTTTCGCTCGTGACGTGGGTGGGGGAGGAAATTCAAGTTTTATTGCGCGTCAACTTGCATACACAACACACCGCACCCTTTTCCCTATAAAATGACTACTGGAGCCGACTCAAACCACCTGGGCCCCGACGCCCGCCCGGCTGATCCCTGACCCCAGGCCGGCCGCTGACCTCAGCCGCGTCGCGGTCGGGCGGGCCGGCCGTCTCCGGCGGTGTGTTGTCGCTGGGCGTGTCGGTGTCGGGCGTGGGCGGCGTGCTGGGCCGGCTGGCCAGCGCCCAGCGCTCGACGGCGCCCAGCACGCGGCTCTCGCGCAGCGCCGTCCGGTCCGGGATCGGCAGCACGGCCAGCGTCAGCAGCACCTGACACGCACACAGACGTACGTACAGACATGGGCAGGGGCCGGTCACCACCAGGCCAGCGTCAGCAGTACCTGACACGCACACAGACGTACGTACAGACACGGGCAGGGGCCGGTCAGGGGCCGGTCAGCACCCGGCCAGCGTCAGCAGCACCTGACACGCACACAGACGTACGTACAGACACGGGCAGGGGCCGGTCAGGGGCCGGTCAGCACCCGGCCAGCGTCAGCAGCACCTGACACGCACACAGACGTACGTACAGACATGAGCGAGGGCCGGTCAGCGCCCGGCATACAGACAGCGTGAACGCAGCCAGAACGGAGCCCCGTGTAATTGACTGAGGGAAGTCCACGAGTACGAAAACCGCGTGTTTCTTTGCTTTGGTGGTGTCGGTGGATCTTGAGTGGGTTGGGTCTCACACGAGGAGAGACGGGGTACAGCGCTACACCAAGACACGCGACAGCACACGACGGCATTGGGGTCGTCAGACATGCCCTCCACACACACACGTCAGGAGGGACTTTAAATGTAAGACACCATCCTGCACGGCGCAAAACGTCGCAAGAACACGATGGCTGTGGTTCAGACCTCACTAGGACCCGCCATTGTTCGGGCTACGCCAATGTCAGCAGTGTCAGCGTGTATGTGTGTGAGTTTCGGATGGGAAAAGAGGGTTGACGAACCTCGCGCCGGAGGCTGAGCGCCTCGGCGTCGGGCGGCTCGACCGCGGACGGGCCGCTCGCCATCCACGTCCAGATGAGCCGCAGGCCGTGGTAGTCGAGGAACAGCCGCCTGACGCGCAGCGGAGCCCGGTGTCAGGCCACGGCCAGGGTCAGGGACAGGGGCAGGACGGCGGCGCGCCACCGAGCCAGACTACGGGGACCACGCTCACACGACTACGGGGACCGCTCGACGATCGGAGAAGATGTCACACCCCTGAGACGGGCGGCGCCGCTGGCAAAGCCGACACCCACACAGTTATAACACACGGCGACAAACTGACTCCGAGTACGCAATCGTCCAACCCGAATTGACAGCCTCAGCATTAACGCAGCGCACGGAGACTGGGGTGAACAAGGGCATGGCCCCGTGACTGAGGCGGTACACGCCGGGTGACAGCGCTGGCCGGTACGCACTGACGCCACCAGCCGGGAGATCTCCACCGCCAGCTGACGACAGGTGGGGGCACACTGCGTCACACAACACTGACGCCACCAGCCGGGAGATCTCCACTGCCAGCTGACGACAGGTGGGGGTACACTACGTCACACGACACTGACGCCACCAGCAGGGAGATCTCCACCGCCAGCTGACGACAGGTGGGGGCACACTACGTCACACAACACTGACGCCACCAGCCGGGAGATCTCCACCGCCAGCTGACGACAGGTGGGGGCACACTGCGTCACACGACACTGATGCCACCAGCCGGGAGATCTCCACTGCCAGCTGATGACAGGTGGGGGCACACTACGTCACACAACACTGACGCCACCAGCCGGGAGATCTCCACCGCCAGCTGACGACAGGTGGGGGCACACTGCGTCACACGACACTGACGCCACCAGCCGGGAGATCTCCACCGCCAGCTGACGACAGGTGGGGGCACACTGCGTCACACGACACTGACGCCACCAGCCGGGAGATCTCCACCGCCAGCTGACGACAGGTGGGGGTACACTACGTCACACAACACTGACACCACCAGCCGGGAGATCTCCACCGCCAGCTGACGACAGGTGGGGGCACACTGCGTCACACGACACTGACGCCACCAGCCGGGAGATCTCCACCGCCAGCTGACGACAGGTGGGGGCACACTGCGTCACACGACACTGACGCCACCAGCCGGGAGATCTCCACCGCCAGCTGACGACAGGTGGGGGCACACTGCGTCACACAACACTGACGCCACCAGCCGGGAGATCTCCACTGCCAGCTGACGACAGGTGGGGGTACACTACGTCACACGACACTGACGCCACCAGCAGGGAGATCTCCACCGCCAGCTGACGACAGGTGGGGGTACACTACGTCACACAACACTGACGCCACCAGCCGGGAGATCTCCACCGCCAGCTGACGACAGGTGGGGGTACACTGCGTCACACGACACTGACGCCACCAGCCGGGAGATCTCCACCGCCAGCTGACGACAGGTGGGGGCACACTGCGTCACACGACACTGACGCCACCAGCCGGGGGGTTTCCACCGCCAGCTGACGACAGGTGGGGGGCACACTGCGTCACACAACACCGACGCCACCGGCCGGAAGGTCTCCAACGCTAGCTCGGAACAGGGACCCGACGTTCACACCCAGCAGAGGGAAAGCACACAGACCGCCGTTCCCTTCCATCTGCTGCTGGCCCTCTCAGTGCCGTGACCAGCGGCCGTCGGCTCACCTCTCTCTGAGCAGCGTCGCGGCGCTGCTTGGCCCGCTCGCTGCGCCGCTGCAGGCCGGCGTCGCGCGGACAGTACTCATTCCCTTCCTCCGCCTCTGGCTCGTTCTCCTCGTCGTCCTCCTCTTCCTCCTCCTCCTCCTCCTCCTCGGTGGTCTGCTCGTCCGGCTTGCGGCCGATCCAGCCGCGGCACTGGGCGGAGCCGCAGAAGCAGCGCTGTGCGCGTCGACCGTACCTGGGCGCCGAGGGACGAGGTTAGCAGCCGACCTGTGACTGGAGCGTGCGATTGTCCCATGCCAAGCGTCCTTGAGGGGCGGCGGCATTTCTGCTGCATGATTTGACCGACGCAAACTGCGTTCGGACGGGAGGAGAGGGCGTCACGTAACTGGTGCCAAATAACAGAGCCCGGAGGAACTCGCTGCATGGCGGACTGGCAAAAAGAACGGCCTTGGGTAACAGGCTCAAACAAGCTCACAAATAGGTCGAACATGTCATTCAGAACTCTAAATTGTATTGCCTTCCAATGCACGAATGCAGACCACTCCCGCGCCGGCGGTACCTGCGCAGCTGGTAGTCGAATGTGATCTCCTCGCCAGCGGCGACGGGCCGCTGCGTGAAGAAGCCGATCCGCAGCTCCCCGTTCACCGTCCACTGGCGGCGGAGACGGCGGCGGCGGTCACGGCCCGCACGGGCGGAGACGCGGACACTCGCCGGCCGACACCCGACACCAGCAATGACAGCCGATGAGTGCGTGCAACGTCACGGCTCATATGGCTGGCTTACATTTCAAAGGGAGTGTTCCACATTTATATGGGGTTTTGAACTGAAATCCTCTCGAAGATCATTCGGCGGAATTCACAGCTGTCCTTTTTACACATAGACCGCTCTAGTTTCTGGCCACACACCCGCGAAGTTGGCCAGACTATTTTGGTAGACTATTTCAGTTGTGCAGACTATTTCAGTTCTAACCATCGCCGTGTCTACCCTTCCAATCTCTCAGTGACTGGGGCGACAAGCCCAGCAAAGCCCCCAAATCGTCCACCCCGCGAATTAAAACACGGGCCTCTGAACATCCAGCTCCACACGCTAACAAGCACATCACTCACACCTATCTGTGTGAGCAAAATACACAATCCTGACATTCCAAATAACCGGCCCTGTCATCTAAAACACGTCGCTTTCCAGCGTCCCCACAACAACACCTCACCTCCCCCCCCCCCCCCCCGAGCCAAGCAGCCAGCGCGCCTCCGGCACACAGAGGAGCTCGGACGGCGCCCGTCGGTAGCTCGCGGGCGGAGCCGCGAGGCCGCTCTCTCGCTCGCCCACCTTCTGAGTCTCGGAGTTGGGGTCGCAGCTGTGGTTGATGAAGCGCGAGTCGTTGCCGCGCTCGGTGGCGTCGACAATCGTGTCGCCACGCAGGGCCATGAAGTACTGATGGTGGTACCGCAGGCGGCTGTACTCCTTGCGGCGACGCCTGAACTCGCGCAGGTCCAGCACCTGCCAAACAGCGTCACGTGGTTTGGCCCCGCCAGCCAGACACGGCGCCTGTGGTGAAACGCCCGGACGACCGTGAGCGCAGAACAGCAGCTCCACTGTGCCGTCTCCGAGGCCCGCCACGGTCGGACCTTACGGGAAACGTCGGCACGTGGTACAGAGGTTACACGCTGACAGGCGGGTGAGCCCAATGACGTATGAATACGCACACACACAAGCCGTGTGGTAGCATTAAACAAACCTAAAATAACTACCCGATTCATTCGCCGCACTCGACGGTGTTGTGAATCCCGCCACATCGCCCGCTCGCCGTTCCCACCACCACCGGGGCCTCCACCACGTCCCTGCACCACCTTTCCGCACATCACCACCACCCCTTCACGCGCCGAGCGTCGGGCAGTCGCCGCGCTCACCACCTCAGTCACCGCAGCCCGCCAGCGCCCACTCACCTCTCCGACGTACTCGTAGATGAAGGCACCGGCCGGCATGTCCTGCAGCGCGCGCAGGCCGTAGCCCTTCAGCTCGGTGCGGAACACCTCGGTCCGGCAATAGCGGCGCCGGCCGAACCGCTTGTTGGAGCAGCGCTCCCCCAGCGGACACCGCGAACCGCTGTGGCCGACGGCATGGCTCAGAACGGGGGCGCCGAGCGCGACCAGGCCGCGTCCGGAAGGGCAGGTCCACACGGAGGCCACAGCTGGGCCTGTCTCTAATGTCGTGACATGATACCCGAATAATATATCATATCATAGCAGGCGGGTGCGGCCTTTCTTAATGATGGCCTGACATCATCAGTATAAGTCAACCATGAACATCCGGTTGAGACATTGACATAACCATTTGATCATGAGCAGCCGGCCGGCTATCGTTATTACCATTCGATCATGAGCAACCGAACGGCTTTTGTTATTACCACTCGATCATGAACAACCGAACGGCTATTGTTATTACCATTCGATCATGAGCAACCGAACGGCTATTGTTATTACCATTCGATCATGAACAGCCGGCCGGCTAATGTCATTACCATTCGACCATGAGCAGCCGGCCGGGCATTGTCATTACCATTCGATCATGAGCAGCCGGCCGACTAATGTTATTGCCATTCGATCATGAGCAGCCGGCCGGGCATTGTCATTACCATTCGATCATGAGCAGCCGGTTGAGGCAGTCGGCGCCGCAGCCCTGCTCGCCGCGCTCCATCTCGTCCGCCGAGAGGCTACAGTCGCACACCATGCGCCGCGTCTCCTTCTGCTGCTTGGTGGCCTTCTGCTGCCGCAGCCAAATGTTGTCCGAGATCACCTGGCGGGCGGCCGGTCACGTCAGCGGACGGCGGACGGCGCGAGAGGCAACGCGGACTGAAGGGACTTCATGGGGGGGGGGGGGGGGGGGGTCGGATCACGTAACGCCGGCAGTGGGAACGAATATTCAGCAAAGACCAGGCCAACTGTAAAGCAGACGTCAAAGCGGAATGAGAAGAGGGCACACTGCATCAAGAGAAGGGAACAGTACAAAGTGACGATGGGTAGACCGCTGGTATGTTGATGTGTGGCTTAGGAGCTTGTTGCGTTTTTCATGCTTTTGGCCACACTGCCGGAACTACCGCGGAGGTGTAGTTTGGTGGTGGTGATGCTTTCATGGTGCTTTGCACACGATTGCAAGCACCATGGAAGACAATAAATCCAGTACACACAGTGAGCATGAGATGAGGAGCGTGAGAGATGTGCTTTAGAAGGGAAGTTAATAAAATATCTACAACAGCTATGCAAGGCAGGTGAGCAGTAGGTGATTTTTGCCCAGAGTGGGGGAGGGGGACTGTACATCAAAGTCGCATTTCTAAGGACAGATTGAGCTGGAGGGAACACGTAACACACGTTTACTAACCTCACTGAAAAATTCACATGCGCAGGTGAGTGGGCAACCAAGAGCGTATCATGGCAGATCGAATTAACATATCACAAAACTTTTGAACCATATGAGGCATACACGTACCATGATGCGCATGTATATACGCATGCATGCACCATATACATACAACACGTGAATGTTATCGCGCTATTCTCGTTTACGAAGCGAAATGACTTCGCCTGGTATCATGTGTTCTTTTCTCGACACAATAATCCGAACTGGAACAAGTTGGAAGCGCAGACCATTACCTTAGCGGGTAAGGAGACCTGTAGACATCATGGGTCAAACTCACTGTGAACGATCGCACAGAACACCGATTTCACTCACCCGATAGTTCCTGAGTTTCTCCTCTATCTTGACGGCGTTGGCCCGCGCTTCGGCGCCCTTCAGCCTCTGCGGTCTGGCCGGCGTCAGCGCCGCCGTCTTGCCACCGACCTTGCCCTGGTCTGGGCCGACTCCCGAGGAGCCTCCCACCTTGCCCTCGGCGTCCAGAGACCCGGCCGGCTGCGGCGGATCTTCGCCCTTGACGTCGGCGGCGCCGTCGCCGTTAACGGCCGGGTCCTTCCTCCCCGCATCCTCGGAGCGAGAGCTGGGGTCGGCCGCCGGTGTGTGGAGGGGCGGACTCTTGGACTCCTCAGTGTCCACGGGCACAGTGGTCTGCGAGCCCCGCAAACTTTTGGCGTCCGAGTCCACGCCCGCACTAGCCTGCGACATCAGGGGACTCATGGACTCGAGATTCAGCGGCGCCATGACCTGCGGCGTCAACGAATCCTTGGAATCGGAGTCCGCCGGAGCGCTGACCTGACGCATGAGCGGACTCTTGGAGTCGGAGTCCGCGGGCGCGCTGACCTCAGGCATGGGTGGACTCTTGGAGCCGGTCATCGTTCCGTCATCAGGCGGACTACCGAACTCCCCAGAATCCACGGGCACAGGTGACCTGCGGCCTCTGCGGACTCATGGAGCCGGTGAGCATGAGATCTTTGACCTGCATTCTTTGCAGACCTCTGGAATCGGAATCCAGGAACGCCTTGATGCGCTGCTTCAGCGGGCTCTTCGAGTCGGAGTCCGCGGGCACCTTGATCTGCATTTTAAGCGGACTCCTGTGGTCAGAGTCCGGGAGGGGCTTGAGCCGTGGGCTCGGTGGACTCCGGGATGCGGGACTCGGGCCCAAGGCGGTTGCATCCGGAAGCGGGACGCCAGAGACTGCTGCTGGTCGTGCTTCCGATGGACTCGCGGACCCAGCCATCGCCTCGCTTGTGACCTGCCCCGGCAGTGGGATAGCGGCCACAGACTCCCGCAGTGCCGGCTCATGCAGGCTTCTTTTGAAACCGGAGTCTAGGCCCACCTGCGCTTCTTCTCGAGGCAAGCTCTTGGAAGGCGAGTCCGCCTGGGCTGTTACCGTCTCCGCTCGTGAGACTGTCATAACAAAATCAGAACTGACAGTGACGTTTGCTTGCGGCGGACTCTTGGACCACGAGTCGTCATAGACATGTCCAAGTCCAGGAAGTGGGATCTTCGACACACCTGCTGTGTCCGCTGCATTTTCAGCTTGCATCGGACTCCTGGAAACTGGATTTGAAGCAGGCGTGACCTGTCCTTGCGGCGGACTGCTGAAGGTGGGCCCAGTGGCAGCCGGGGCGCGTTCTGGCAGGGGGATGCCGGAAATCGACCCCGCGTCTGCTCTCACCGACTCCAGCAGCGTTCTCACGGAGTCAGAGACCGTTTGACTGCCGTCTCGTTCTTGAACACAAGGAGTTGGGGTAGGAATTTGATCTGGCAAAGGAATGTCGCATAGAACAACGGTACCTGGCTGAATTTCTTGTTCGCGTCGGCTTTTTGGTGAGTAGGTATCAGCTATCTTTGAAGCAGGCAGTGGAATATCCGGCTGCTTTGTGGAAGAACACGAATCACCCATTTTTGGGGCATGCCGTGTTCCAAACCGCGTGTCCTTCACGCGTTCTTGGAAGGAACACACATCAGTGGTTTCGGGGGCTTGCAGCAGACTACTCGGCCGCTTTCTTGAGTATAAATCAGTCGCCTGAGAAATAGGCGGTGTGGCGTTCAACCGTTTTGAGGAGAATGGTAAATGGGTTGTCTTGGAAGTAAGCGGTGGACTGTTCGGCCGTTTCTGCATGGGACACGACTCGTGCGTCTTGGGGGCATGCGGCGGGCTTTTCGGCCGTTTTTGGGAAGACCACGAATCAACCTTGCTGTCAGCAGGCAGAAGATTCTTTCGTTTCTGTGAATAAGTCTGATCAGTTTTCTGGGGAGCAGGAAATGGACTCTTGGGTCGTTTCTGCGAGGAGCACGAGTTAGTTGTCTTGGGAACATGCACAGGGCTCTTCGGTCGTTTTTGTGAAGAGCTCGAGCTAGCTGTCCTTGGAGCATGCTGTGGGCTCCTCGGCCGCTTTTTGGAAGAGCCCGGATCAGTTGTCCTATTGGCAGCTAGCGGGCTCTTCGACCGCTTTTGGGAGGAATGCGGGTCACACGTCCAAGACGAACGCGGCGGGCTTTTCGACCGTTTTTCGGAAGACTGTAAGTAAGCTGCCCTGGAAGAAGGCGGCGGGCTCTTCGGCCGATTCTGTGGAGGACAAGCATCAGTTGCCTTGGGAGCATGCAATGGGCTTCTTGCCCGGTTTTTGGAAGAGGCAAAATCGGTTTTCCTGGGAATATGCAGAGGACTCTTCGGCCGCTTTTCGGAAGAGCCCGGATCAGTGGTCTTGGAAGTAGACAGTGGACTCTTCGACCGTTGTTGTGAAGAACTTCGATCCTTTTTCTCAGAGACAGGAAGTGGACTACTCAGACGTTTTTTAGACGAATGCGAATCAGATGTCTTAGAGGCGCGCAGTGGGCTCTTTGACCGTTTTCGTGAAGAGCTAGAGTCATTTGATTTGGGACCACGGATTGGGCTCTCCCGCCGTTTTTGAGAAGAGCCCACGTCGGTTTTCTTGAGACCTTGCGAAGTGCTTCTCGGCCGCTCTTTGGGAGTCGCCGAATGGATTGTCTTCGAAGCAGATAATGGGCTCTTTGGCCGCGTTTGCGAAGACGCCCAGTCCGTGATTCTCGGGAGCACGAAGTGGAATCTTCGCCCGTTTTTTGGACGAGCCCGAATCAGTTGTCTCGCAAACTACCGATGAGACCATTGCTACCGAGTCTATGGCTGGTGACGGACATCTCTCCAGCTGGCTTCCGGAATCACATTTCGAGTGCGTCGTAATCTCATCACATACATAACTTTTGAAAACTGTGACTGGGTCAGTCAAACCTTCCCCAGGTAATGGGATCTTGGACACCAAATACACTTCCTTCTTGACTAGTTCTTTCCGAGCATCATTAGAATCGGAGCCGGCCTTCACCCCTAGCGTGTTTCGGAGCTGAGTGCTTGGATACCGAGCTCGTGTCCGAATCCACCGGTTTCCTCCCCCGACCGCTGGGTATCCGCCCCGAGTCCAGCATGACTTGTTTCTCGAGCCGGTATGGAATCCCGGTCTGTCCCCACCTGTTCCAAAGCGTGATGACCAGCAGAGCTCGATTCCAAAAATGTATCATTCTCACGTCTGGGTCGGTTCCAGTCCCCGTCACCGTAGTCACGCCTCGAAGCCCGGCTCTTAGAGCTGGCATCGCCGTCCGGTGTCACCTGCTCGGGCAGCTTCTTCCCGACAGCTCCGACTCCGACAGCCACCTCGCCGCCGGACGAGCCGCGGTAGTCGCGCTCCTGACCGACCGAGGGACGCGTCACCGGCCTCCTCCGCGCCGAGCGGCTGCGGCGCCGTCGAGGCCGCGAACCCGCCGGTCGAGTCGAGCGCCTGGGCGGCGAGCCGGGCGGCCCGCTCGCGCGCGTCCAGGCCGAGACTCTCGGCCGTCCAGCCGGCGAACGGGCCGTCCTCGTCGTCGGACGGCGGCGCCTCCAGCGGCGTCTCCGGCGGCGCCGGACGGTGCGGCCCACGGCTCGCAGCGCGCCACGTCGGCGACGAGTCCGGAGACGACAGTGGCGGAGTCGGCGGCTGGTCGGCCACGTCGGGGCGAGGCGGCGGCGACGGCCGGTCGAGCCGGCGCAGCCACGTGCCGCGCTGGCCGCCCACGGGAGAAGACGACGGCGGCCCTGCGGCGTACACGAACGCCACCTGCTCTTGCTGCTCCGACTCTGTGGGCACCGTTCCCGCGCCCTCCAGCGCCTCTTCCATCCGCATGCCCACTCCTCCTCCCCTCGTACTCTGCCCGAGTCCAGCCTTCCTGCTAAAGAGGTCACCGGTTGACGCGTCGCCGCCTCCGATCAGCGAGGAAGTGGACCCGGGCCAGTCACCGCCGCCGCCGCCCGACTGCGAGGCGGCGGCGCGCTGACGGCGGGCGGTGTGCGTCGCCCTCGGCGGCTCACGGGTCGTTTCGTCGCCGCCTGAGTAGCCGTCGCTGCCGGGCGGTGACGCGCCGTCCGACGGGCCGGAGCCGGCCGCCGCCGAGCCGGCCGACGAGGCGCCGCTCTCGCCCGAGTCGGAGGCGCGCGACGGCAGCGACGGAAAGCTGCAGGCGTTGTCGTCGGCGTCGGCGGGCGGCGCGACCGCGTCGCGCGCCGGGCTGGCCGCCTCCGACGCCGTCGCGCTGGCCGAGTCGGCCGCGGACGGCGGCAGGCTGCGCGAGTCGGACGCCGCCGGCAGCGGGCTCGGCGAGCCGGCCGCCTCGACCCACGACTCGTCAGCGCACAGCGCGGCGCGGCGCGGCTCGCGCCGGGCCGGCGCCGGCGACTCGGAGGTCCCGGACGCCGTGTCAAACACATCCGCGGAGAGCCCGCTCTGGTCGGGCCATCGAGCGCCAGCCGGGGTCCGCGCGGTCTTCGCTCGCGAGGCGGTCGCCCGGGAAGAACCGCGCCTGCCTCTGGTGCTGTCCGCGCTGCGGGCGTCGGCCGCGTCTCTGACACCGTCGGGCGAGACTTTAAGCGATGCAGGGGAATACGACGAACACTGTCCCTCGTCGACACAACTGGCCGGTATGTCGAGCACGATTGGGCTCCATCCAGGGCTTTGTACAACGTCCTCCCTGCTACTTGGGCTATTCACAATCTTTTCCTGTTGGCGCCAAATTTCCTGCGCCTTTGTGCCACTTTCCCCACTCCTTAAACGCTCTTCACCGCGCTGGCTACGGTCGGAACTTCGACCTCCGTTCGAGCTGCTTTCCGCCAGCTGACCGTCCGCAGAGCACTGCGCCGCCACCGGACCAGCAGCAGCATCACCTCCGACCGCTCCCCGGCCGTCCACCGGCACCAGCGGCGACTGCGGATCCCCGCCGGCGGACCGCGCGCGGCGCCGGCGCCGGTACGGCGGCGTCCCCAGCCAGCCGCCGGTCAGCAGCTCCGTCTCCACTCGACGCATCAGGCGACGCAGCGCCGGCGGCGCGTCGGCACGCGCGCATGACGCGTCGAAGCCTACGAAAGGATCATCGGCGTCGCACGAGTCGCTCTCGGAGAGGCAGGGTCGGCGCGGGGAGGTCGTGGGTCCACGCCGGCCGGCACCGCGGTGACCGGGGCTAGCAGCGGAGGCGGCGGCCGCCGCTCGCCGGCTGCTCGCCCTGCGGGAGCCATTCGGTGGGGTCGTCGCCCCGTCAGGCCCGTCGCTGCCGCCCCGCCTCCGCGGTAGCGGCAGCGGCGGCGGCGGCAGCGGTGGGCTGGGCTCGGCAGCGGGAGTGTCAGCAGAGCTGCAAATGCTGTCGGCGGTCTCACCGACGCTGGCGGCCCCGGCGCCTGCCGCTGCCACCGGGGTGTCAGAGCCGGCGTCCGACGCGCCGGCTTCGTTCCCGAGTCGAACGTCGCGCGGGGCATCCCCGGAGTCGTGGCCTTCAGCTGCCTCACTCCGCCGCCGGCTGCGTCGAAGCCTGACACCGGGCGCGTCCACCGCGTCTGTCGACGGGGAGGACGCTGGCCACTGCCCCGAGCCGGAGGCCGACGTGGCCCGACGGTCAGGCGGAATCCACCGCGCCGGTCGGCGGGGAGGACACGGGCGGAGGCGAGCCGGCGGTTGGCGGGGCCCCGGCCTCGGAGGAATCCGCCAAAGTGGGCCGGCCGTCAGAGGTCGCGCCCGGCGGGCTCGTGGCCGTGTCCGAGGCAGAACGCCGGCTGCTCTGCGTCAGCCGCTCGTCGGCCAGCTCCGGCGGCACCGCGCTCGGCTGGCCGTCCAGCGACGCCTGGCTGCGCCTCTTCACCATCGCGCTCAGCACCTGGAATCGGACGGAGTCGGGGACGTTGTCAGGCGAGGGATAGACAACAGGTGGCACGACGATCGATGGAGTGATGGGCCCCATTTCTCTACCGGTCCACCACTGGATCGGACACCGCTCCTCTGTCGAGCTTGGCTTCAACGGCGTGAACGGCGTCGGCTGCGGAAAGGAAACTTTTGATCCGTACCTACGCGGGGCCGAACCAAGCCGTCTAGTGAGGAGTGTACAACACATGTCGCACGGATACGTTTCACGATCGATTCGCGTATCTCTGCGATAAACCAGTGTACTCTCCCGATGCGATCGATGGAATCAATAACTGGATTAATTGTAATTTAATTGGTATGCGGCTCTTCAAAAAAAAGCTGAGAGAGCAATGCGGAGGGTGGAGCAACAATACATTGAACTGCGTCTTCACTTTGTAAACCTAGAATGTACTTACTTCTCACTTCCTCCCAACATGGCCAAAAGGTAATATTTTATGACAAATCAATCAATACAGCAGTGCCCCTGGACAATCCAAAATTATTTTACCAAAAATGCTACTGACACAAAGCAAAACATCAGGGCACTTAACAATGTTTTGAAATATGTATCTCTCCTCTGATAGGCTTTCAGCACATCATGCATAACATGGTTAGCTTCTCCCAAAGATAAATGATATCTGCGCAAATGATCTAAGCAGTTCATAAATGTCATTGATCCTAGTTCGTTGAAACAATGCCAATGGTCTAAACCTTCCACTCAGCTACCAACTGGAACCACATGGTGATGATGAGACCAACACAAGTTGCGGGTTTGTTTACAATGGAATTTTTGGGTTCCATCAGTGGGCAGTTCTGGCAGTGATGTATGGGCAAGGCAAAACAAAAGTAATCTGGTGTTCAACATATATGGAAAACATTGCCTCATTTTGTGTGAAAGGTTTCTTGTGGTTTGCAGACCACAAAATAGGTACATTTATAACTGTGCAACCAGTTAAGCATGGTGGGTGTAGCTCAATTCTAATAGCATGTACTGTAGTAGTTGCCAGACAAAGCAATGCCTCATTTTCATTGCAAAGTTTCAAATGAGCATCCTATAGCTTCAAATGGCCAAGAAGGTTGAGTGTTTTTCCCACCATAAGGTTGGATTTGTACAACTGTTTACCCAAACTGCACAGTCAGAGATAATACAAGGAAATTCAGGTGCTGGGGCAAGAAATAACATGCAAGCTGGAAGCTTTGGGCTCACACATGTTTGGGCTACTCATATTCAGCAGGGAAACTGGGCCCCAATCAACTGCATGATAGACTGGCCTGTCAGGTTCACAACATTTAGTTTTTGTCCTTTGAATTTATCAGACATTTAATGCAAATTAAAACACTGATCTTCACAAGATTAATCTTTTGGATTGTAAAATATCGATGTTTTGTAAAAGGTGGTATCATAAACTCAGTGTACTTTGGCCTCCTCCCAAAACATATTAGCAGCAGCAATAAGTAGTATGCAGATGAAAACTGGATTGTCCAAATGATCTTAGAAACAACTCCTCCTCAGTCATCATTAGGGACACAGCAGGCCAAACTTCCCTCAGGGAGAAATGTCAAGCATCTTGAAAATCATGTGAATTTGTACAAAGTTCCAGCTATATTGCCCAACATTTAATGTAAGCCTCTTAAGACATGGTAGGGGGAGGGGGAGGGGGGGGGGGGCGGTTGGGAGCCACAACCCTTTTGACACTTTGCTCAGCTGTACCTGCTCAGACTAGCCAATGTCACAAGCAGAAAACTGGCTGCTTAAACTGAGGCAGGATGGCGCCCACCCCAAGCATTTCACTGACCTGACACTGATAATTTCACTGACCAATGTTACACCTTTTGCAGACTGACCAATATGTGATGGTTATAACAGGATTGAAGTCCAGAAAAGTTGCATAACATCACAACATTTTTGAATGCATAGATCTCAACAAGATCCCATTGGCACCATAACTGCACCATAGCAAGTCACAAACATACAAATAGTAATGCACAGTGGCAAAGGTAGCTTGCCAACAAAACATGCCACACTAGTAAATGTATCACATCACACACCACATTCTACCACATTATGAAGGCATAGTAGCATCAGAATTTCACAGCAACATCATAACTTATTGGAACAATGGCTTTAAATGCACAGAAATTGGTTTTGAATGTGCATCCGGCTCAAAGATTTCAGATTTACATCATGCGTGAGAAAATATAGCTGGAGGTGTTGATGTTACAACAGACATGGCATGCATCTTTTTGTGGTCTGGTCCAGCCCAAAGTAGAGCTGGATGTCTAGCTGTCTCACCAAAGGCACATTAAATCTGCCCAAAGTATCTTGTAAACCAGAATGCCATCTTTTGCAGGCTGGAGAATGGTTCGGCATAAAACTCGGGCACTCAGATCAGCAACATGCATGTGCTGAAATGTGTCCCTGTGATAATGTGATAATGTGATACCACTGCCACTCCACACATGTCCAGCAAAATATAATTGTTTTGCAGCCTGGATGTAGGATAAGCATACCTAGTTACCTTTTCAAGACCTTTGGCATGGTTAGCCAGTCTGCAATGCACTGAGCCTTGTACTTGCAGACACAAAACTTATGCCTGGTCTAATCACGCCATGTTTTCACCCCCTTTCAAGGTGAAAGTGTGTTCAACATCTTTTTATCTGAACTCTCCTTTAAAACATCATTCCTTAAAATATTTTTCTTAAAATCATCATCATTTATCATCATAAAATCATCATTCCTTAAAATATTACTTCACGATATGCCAAAATTGATGCACACCATGTGCTACACCCTGGGCACGCAGGGTTAACAAGGCAGGTGTGTTGAAATCATTGCCACCATTTTGCTGCAGTGCCGCACATCTGGTGGAACGTGCATATCAGACTCAGGGTGCTCCAATTGACATTTCTTCCTGGTGACCTAAATGACCAAAATGACATAGTTTGACAAAATGAGTTCATGGAAGGGGAAGGGCAAGAAAGTGGAAAATGATAACATATAAAAGTATCTCCCAAAAACCTACAATAATTACCAAGCTTCTCATCAAATCACATCCACTTTACGCACAAAGTTGGAAGGGCCCAAATGTGGAAGGTGGGGGAAGAGGCTCTCCCTGTGGGTAGAGATAACTATACCCTGTGCTTGAACCCAATGACCTATATTTCTGGCACACATAAAATTGACTTTGGGTAGGTGAAGACAAATTTGTGACTATCTTACAAACATAGCCAAGAAGTGCCATATTTTTTGGCAATCATAGTTCAGGCAATTTATCATTACATTAAGTAAAATGTCTACTCCAAATTTTTTAGATGATGTTTAGTTGCCATCCATGGTAAACCATACATTTTGGAGAGTGCATATGCCTGGAACACAGCCACCCTATGTTTTGGATTGTGTATATGCCCAGTGTGTAACCACACTCCAATTTGTATACCATGATCATGAGCACTATACCTGGCTGGGGAATACCCAAAATGCAACCAGCATTGTCACACACACACACACACAACACACACACACACACACACATATATATATATATATTTGTATATATATATATATTATATTATATATATATATATACATATCTGAACACAAATATTTCCTCTCAGAAGTAAATGAAAATACCATTTTTAGTGCGGTCATACATGATCACACATGATCACACATTTTAATGCAGTAACTTTTGGCCTCCGCTGAAAAACGATATCACGCGCCACTCTTTGCAACCTACTTTTCAACGCTTGTGATGTCTGACCCCAGCCTCTCTCATAAAACTCAAGCCAAAAATCCTACTTGCAAAGAAACATAGTCTTTAATTTTTCCTTTGTCGTTCCCTACAAAAACAAAATACCCATGGCGCCCCCACCTCACACACATTGCACACGCCACGAGAAACACACGGACGTGCAGTACACAAATCATGCGCATGTGTCGCGAAAATAAAATATAGAGCGCCCATATTCACACAGGAGAGGGCATTTTACTTTTATTCTAATGATCGGTTTTATTTTAAAAAAAGTTAATTCATTTTATGAAAAAATGGCGATGCTTGTGGGGTAAATTGTTTGAAATAATCTCTTTAAAATATAAAATGCTGACTTAGTTCATAAAATGCGACCTACCACCTTTACCGTTTTAGAGTTTTAGAAGTTTTCCTTTACACTTGAGCAGCAAAAAGGCGGAAATGACGATATGGCTGCTGGTGTGCGAGGCCCGCGTCGAAGCGTCGCGCTGCATGGCTGTAGTTGGTTTGCTGCCGGTTGCGGGGGGCAGGCGTCGCCATCGTTTTGGTAACATCTACGAGCAGGTTTTTGTTGGAACGCCCTCGGTTCTGCTAGATATATCTTGAGAGTTGTTAAGGGTGAGCTATTGTCCTTTTGTATGGTGGTACTCGTATTGGTTTACTTTAAGTGATAAGCAATTAGCTCAACTATTGCCCGTAAATTTAAGCCGGCCATTGGGATTGGTCCTGGGTAGGTGGCTGGGTGACGAAAGTTTGTTGTAGCCCACTGATGTTGTTTTTGTTGGTATTCACCTAGTTATCCAAGTGCTTAGGCACCTATTATGATGAAACTGAATTGGGTGCCTAACCAGAATTGTATGCTTGCCCTAAGTGTAGGAGGCAGCTCTGGGCCATTGACTGCGGGTTTGGCCATCAGGGGCACAATCATGGTTGTCTTAAGGGGTGACTTTAAGCTTAGTACTTATCATAAGAGGAGCAAAGAGACCATCTATGGCACTAAAATAAAAAGTGGAGGCCTGAGGTGAAGTGCAACAAATTTGGTGCAGGTCACCACCAGTTTTATTGCATAAGAAGCCAAGTTAGAAAATGATGACCTGTGTAGAAATTGTGATGTTACATTAATCTTAAATGAAAATAAATTTTAACATTTTTCAGCCAAAAGTATTTTAAAAAATGGATTGGTACTCTTTCCCATTCCCACACCATAGTTGGGGCAGGGGGTTGGCAGAGCCTTCACCCACAGTAACCATTGTGTAACCGGGGAAGGGATCGAGGAAAATGGCTAGAAATATGCAGTATAACTTATGGACTTCCCCTTAACCTGCAGCTGGCCAGGGGGAAGTTGGCTTCCCTCTATGGGTTTTTGAACACAGGTCAACAACACAATTTTTAGTACCTGTTGATCTGTCATTTTGGTACCCTTCATGTAGATTTAAAGTTTTGATCTACCAAGGTCAATGATCTAGGTCAATACAAAGATGTCAACCTCTTAAAAACTTTCACCATGCCTAATGTTTTTTGGTTATTTGCCATTGGTCAAACTTGTTACAGTAATAAAACCAAAAAGTACTTACAATTTGTATATTTTGGATATTTTTGAAGATGTGGGGCTATAGTGACATAAATTCAGATATTTTTTCTATGTTCACAAATAATGTGATAATATGTTTCATAAAAATGTGTCATATTAATAGTGTGGGGTTCATGGCTTTATATGGTACATGCATAGGGAAGATGCATTGACTGATAATTTGGAAACATAGCTCATTAATGAATTGTTTCCATGAAGACTATTGTTTCTGTTTGCCTTCATTCAAAGACTTGAGCACTTCCCTTAATTAGCACCATGCTGCTAATTGGAGAACTCCAGTTTTTAAGGTGATAACTATTGCCTGTGGTCAGAGTTCAGAGTGCATGTTAAATGTCATAGGTTTTGGTCTTTCTGTTGTTGCCTTTAATTCTGTCTGCTACCCTAATTCTTTCCCAAATTTGCTATTTAATCTAGGAAGCCAAATACAAATTCAAGCATTAATATGCATTGACCATGAAAGACAAGCCAAATATGTTGTGGGATGTCGAATTGCATGCCCATCACTCACTGGTCAGAGTGTGTGATGTGCTACATACCAACTAAGCTACAGGGATGATTTTGATGTGAGGCATGGGGAAAGATATCCCAATATTACACATAGGATTGTGAGTGTGACATATCATGGAAAGCAAGAGCCTGAAACACTGTCTTAACATAATGCCATCATAATTTGCAGATGGATAAATTAACCATGCATGCCAGCTGAATATTATTTTACTTTTTTGCATCTGACATGCTGCTTTTGAGCATCAAGCAAACACATCCATGCTGACTGACTGTCTTTTTCAGATACTGTGATCCTGTGTGACTTTGCATTGCAAGCATGGCTCAGAGAACTGGCTGGCCAAGAGGAACCACTCAGCCTAACTTAAAGAGCCAGTTTTCAGAATCAGCTGGCTCCAGTAAGACAATCAACCTGTGAGTGTTGGACACCAGTTGACCCTCTTGAACTATATCCTTTGAGTAATGAGACCATAGCAGTTTGCACAATGTTGAAGAGAGGCTTGTGTGCATTGGCATCGCTGGTTGCAGAGACACTGGCAATGAGGTTCAGCCATGTCAAAGTGTTGTCACTGGTATGTGACCCCTTCTCTAGACCCACAAGTCAGTAAGTCATTTATTATGCACTTATTGCTGATTATTAGCCAAACATTGTCCTACACATAATGACAGTCTGTCTTAAGGTTATTTATGACAGGTGCAAAATAACTAATGTAGTTGGTGAACCCCCTGAGTCCAAATAACATCAGGACATTTATGACATGGTCAGGTCTGGTACCATGCCAAAATTATGTGGCCCTTCCAGCATGAAGCATGTATATTGGTTAAGTGCCACTATCCACCATTGTTGATGTCTGAGGCATCTCGTGTGCTCGCGGACCAGCTCGGGTCATTGCTCCCCACACATATGATGAGACGACGCTCTTCAACATTGCGACAGCACAGATCTGACGCCACAGGCCTGCAATCCGACCACATTGTCTGCACCACTCTCGGTCTCAGTCGCGCCGCCGCGCCGGGATGCTGAAGCCGCGCTGCGCCCGGCCGCCGCCTCCGGCGCTGACCGTGCCGCCCGGCTCCCTCGCCGTCCGCAGGTACCCGCTCACCAACTACACGTTCGGCACGAAGGAGGCGTTGTTCGAGCGCGACTCGTCGGTGGCGGCGCGCTTCCAGCGCATGCGCGAAGAGTACGAGAAGCAGGGCATGCGCCACAGCGCCGACGCCGTCCTGCTGGTGCACGAGCACGGCCTGCCGCACGTGCTGCTGCTGCAGCTCGGCTCCACCTTCTTCAAACTGTACGTGCCGCGGGGAAAAGGGCACGTGGCACGGTTGTTCGACGCGCCGTGTGGCACGGGACGTACTGACATGCGTCCCATCGTGACATAGTGGGCTTAGACACGCCCCGGGCGGGAAGGGTGTGACACGTGACCTTGTCGGGAGTGCTGGTATGGGCAGTGCTAATGTACCGTTACGACCGTGAGTGTACCACCCTACACCACGCCTCATGGGGAACACATGTGATCCCCTTGAGGCGTGTTGTGGGGTGGTACAGCGCCCTGCTAGTGTGGCTTGGCGCGGGTTTTTCTGTCCCCTCCTGTCGTTCCAGCCAGCTGTGCAGCCCCTCACGTCGTTCCACCCAGCAGCCGAACACTGATGCTCGCAGAGGGTGCTCTCCGGTCTGGGTGACTGGGTGGCGTTGGAGCGGAAGATCTGTTGTGTGTGAACGAATTCATGACTATGGGCCACAGACTGCTAGTAACCTCGTATGAACACGGCTTTCTGCGCGTTGCGAGCCCAGTGAGCTTCGGCTTGTGGCGGGCGAAGAGTTTCAGGTGTTGTCGGCATGTCACGGGCCGCGTGTATCTCCTGACGCCGGTACTGGGCGGGATCGGTGCGCACCTCGACAACGGCGTGTGCCGCGCTGAAATTCGCGTTGATGCCGCCGTGAGTCGGGCCGCGGTGGCTCCTGGCTGGCCGGCCCGCGTGCGTGCGTGCGTGCGTGTTGAGGCGCGCGCGCCGTGCTGCCGCAGGCCGGGCGGCGAGCTGCGGCAGGACGAGGACCCAGTGGTGGGCCTGAAGCGGCTGCTCACCGAGATCCTGGGCCGGCAAGACGGCGTGCCGCAGGAGTGGGTCATCGAGGACTGCATCGGCACGTGGTGGCGACCCAACTTTGAGCAGCCGCAGTACCCCTACGTGCCGCCGCACATCACCAAGCCGAAGGAGCAGAAGAAGCTCTTCCTCGTCCAGCTCGGGGAGAAAGGTAGTCGTGTGCGGTGGCGGCCGCGGCGCTGGCCCTCGTCTACCGTCCGCCTCTGGCGCGCGCGGCTCAGGGCGATGTGGGTGGGAGATCCGTGATCATACTATTCTGACCTGTCGAAGGGTCGGCTATATGACGCTGGGTACTCTTTTTGTCGCACAGGTGTCATTGGGACTCTTTCACCAGTTTCCAAAGGACTTCTGTGTTCCCGGCGGTATCTCCGTCGCATAGCAACCGTGTATTGCGTCGCGTCGCATAGCAACCGCACATTGCGAGTAGCCCCGACATGTCCTCAGCCCTCCAAAGTTTATCTAGTTGGATGTACGCGCTGTAAATATGAATTCATGTTGCCATAATTCTGCCCCCCCCCCCCCCCCCCCAGTGGCCTCCGCGAGCACATTTCGTTGACTGCTCCCGCTAATGCGTTGCCGTTGCCGTCAACCCCGAGCCCCAACATCTGACCTGCTGGCTGATTCTCCAAAGCCCCAGGTGGCTGGCTGCTACGCTGACCGCTGCCCGGCTTCACACTAATGGGTCGATCTCGAGTGACAGGGTGGGGAGCAACAGGCAGTGAGCCCCGCGCTATGATGCGATAGGATGAATAATTACCGGGATTCCAGCCTCCCGAGTGGCCGAATATTTCCACACTGAATTTTCTGATGTGTGCGTGCTGCGGTCTGCTCAAGTGGGCAGCTTGTTTGGGCGGCATCGCGTACTTGACGGCTGTTTTTCATCGTTCGCCGCCCGCGGTCTGCCGTACCTGACGCCTTATCTCTTGTCTGGACGTTGCCGCAGCGCTGTTCGCCGTGCCCAAGAATTACAAGCTGGTGGCGGCGCCGCTGTTCGAGCTGTACGACAACGCGCAGGGTTACGGCCCTCTGATCTCCTCGCTGCCGCAGGCGCTCTGCCGGTGAGTCTGGCCGGCGGGAGGACCCCGCCACTCCCCGGCCCCGACCGGGCTGGCAGGGTCGGCGGGGTGACCCGGGCCGCGGCCGGACAGCGGCTCACTGTGGGCGGCTGCCGCCACGCTGGGGTGTTTATTGTCAGGGGCGGCTGGGCCACGGCAGGGTCTGTTCCTGATCAGGCTTGGGTGTTCACTGTCAGGGGCGATTGGGGCCACGGCAGGGTCTGTTCCTGATTATGCTGGGGTGTTCACCGGTCAGTAGTGAATGGACCACGGCAGGGTCTGTTCCTGATTATGCTGGGGTGTTCACCGCCACCGGTGACCGGGCCCGGTAGGGCTGGTGTCACTGTCAGTAGTGACTGGACCGCGGCAGGGTCTGTTCCCGATTATGCTGGGGTGTTCACCGCCACCGGTGACCGGACCCGGTAGGGCTGGTGTCACTGTCAGTAGTGACGGACCACGGCAGGGTCTGTTCCTGATTATGCTGGGGTGTTTACCGTCAGTAGTGACTGGACCTCGGCAGGGTCTGTTCCTGATTATGCTGGGGTGTTCACCGTCAGTAGTGAATGGACCACGGCAGGGTCTGTTCCTGATTATGCTGGGGTGTTCACCGCCACCGGTGACCGGGCCCGGTAGGGCTGGTGTCACTGTCAGTAGTGACTGGACCGCGGCAGGGTCTGTTCCTGATTACGCTGGGGTGTTCACCGCCACCGGTGACCGGGCCCGATAGGGCTGGTGTCACTGTCAGTAGTGACTGGACCACGGCAGGGTCTGTTCCTGATTATGCTGGGGTGTTCGCCGTCAGTAGTGACTGGACCGCGGCAGGGTCTGTTCCTGATTATGCTGGGGTGTTCACCGCCACCGGTGACCGGGCCCGATAGGGCTGGTGTCACTGTCAGTAGTGACTGGACCACGGCAGGGTCTGTTCCTGATTACGCTGGGGTGTTCACCGTCAGTAGTGACTGGACCGCGGCAGGGTCTGTTCCTGATTATGCTGGGGTGTACACCGCCACCGGTGACCGGGCCCGGTAGGGTTGGTGTCACTGTCAGTAGTGACTGGACCACGGCAGGGTCTGTTCCTGATTATGCTGGGGTGTTCACCGCCACCGGTGACCGGGCCCGGTAGGGCTGGTGTCACTGTCAGTAGTGACTGGACCACGGCAGGGTCTGTTCCTGATTATGCTGGGGTGTTCACCGCCACCGGTGACCGGGCCCGGTAGGGCTGGTGTCACTGTCAGTAGTGACCGGACCACGGCAGGGTCTGTTCCTGATTATGCTGGGGTGTTCACCGTCACCAGTGACTGGACCACGGTAGGGTCGGTGTCACTGTCAGGTCGCTGCAGGCACTTGCGGGCCATGTGGTCATCTCTGGTGGCGGGTCGAGTCATTGAATCTGACAAGTTGCGCAGTTTGTCGACACTCCCAACGCATTGTACTGGGAAGCTTACGGTGGGTTCATTTCATGTCGACCGCCGCAGAAAGACACCGATCCGGGGCTGCTGTCACATGTTCAGATTGACTGCAGACGTTTGAGGGTCATCATCATCCGACCGCTGAAGCCCAGAAGTCACGAAAGACCACTGATGTCTCAAGGGAGGAGAAGGGGTGGGGAAGGGTGGGGGGGGGGGGGGGGGGGGGAGGCGATGCAGCCAACGAGCGATTGACTTCACAAATCGTATTTCGCCATATGACTGTGAACGCCGAGCGGGGTTTTTACCACACTCATTATACAGTCTATGGATACTGTCCCTGCACCCTTTTTATAGCACCCATGCGTAGTCGCAAATCCCCACATCTCGGGCCGTGATGAAGCGTTCCCCCGGTCGCATTTCCGACTCCGGGGGCGATTGCGTACCCGAACCCGACACTCGCCCAGGACGCGGACCGGCGGATCCCGTCCCTGGTGTGCCAGTATTCCCACATTGGTGAGCATGGCCGGCGGCCGCGGCCGGCCACCGGGCCGTCGGAAGTGTCGGAGAAGGTGGAGCGTGGCGCGTGACCCTGAGATCTGAGCTGACGTGACCTTGAGATCCGACCTGGGTGTTCAGACCCGACGCCTGCCGGCCCTGTGCGCCCGCCGCTGGCAAAAGCGGGTCGCACGCAGCGAGAGAGTGATTGCAGATAGCGCCTATGTCATGTGTGTTAGGGAGGACGTGTACTTGGAAGACCCGTTTGCTCGGCGCCGTTGATTATCGCACTGGCTCCTCAGTTGTTTGGGGTGGGGTTTAGGTGCGGCAGCTCACTTGTGTCTGTCTGTGAGATGGTCTGAAGTTGTTGTCTCTTTGTCCCAGTTTTAGTGCAAATTCTAACGTTGATCCATGTAAATACCGTGATTTTGCAAGCACTTGCCCGTGTGGAAGTCTTGACCATGCGCTGATGTCATCTAAGAATCAACGCCTTTAGCAATTGCCTGTTTTTTTCATTATTTATTTATGTGATAGTGCGTGCTGGATGTGTTAGTTCGACATGATCATGAGACAGACTGTTGCTACGTCGCTGTTTAAAAAATCAACAGCTGCAGCTTTGCTAATCTCCTTCTTGTTTAGTAATATGGTGTACGAACAGCTGGAACGAGAATGTGAGTCTACCGGAATATTTTGTATTTGTGCTTTAGATTTTGTTTGAATTGTGCTTCACGCAACAACGGTCTTGCCTTCCTATGAACACATGTTCTTTGCTTGCACCCGTTCAAACGATAAGGATGAGTGTGATCATCAACGACATTATTGCCCGTCGCTCAATTGTCGGATTCTTGATGAAACAAGTGAGATTTGTGCGGGGATGTGATGTACGCGATGAAGAGCGTCTATAGGATATTTAAGTGGCTGATGTGATGGGGTCTTTGTCAAGTCTGTGCGGGAAATTACACCGAAAGACTTTCCGACAGATGCGTTGCACAAAAATAGTTCGGGAAGGCTCTGGTACACAGATTCTCGCCGATTGTTTCTGAATGAGCCAGTTTCTCTCGGCGCATTGGTGTTTCTGAATGAACCAGTTTCTCTCGGCGCATTGCGTGCAGGGCTTAGGACCTCATGCCTTGCTTGCAGCTTAAAGTGCGGGTGCTGGCTGCGGCAGTGCCACGCTTCCCTTATGATGCACCTGATTGCCGTTGCCATGGCGTTTGTACTGTCATTCAAAATTGCTGTTCCTCCTTGGTTACCAAATCTCATATACTCTATTGTGTGTTCTGAGCCGGGAGACCACATTCGCTGTTCAGTTGGTCCTCTGAGGTGTCAGCTGACGCGCTTCTGTTCGTCTGGAGCGGCACAAGTCCTGGCACTTCTCGTGTCTGTTCGGGTCCAGCCACCTTTGTTTCTCGTGACTGACGTGGGCCGCGTTGTGGCCCCTGCGAGCGTTTCGCTGAGGCATGATGCCGTTTGACACTGGAAACTGTGGACGCCATGGGCCGCTTACAAGCCAAATTTTCTTTGCTGTTATTTTGTATTTTAGATTATGTGCTTGGATAAACCTACACCATTTTCGGCAAAACAGTGTGAGTAGCTGCCTGATGGTTGCTGTTTTGGCGAATCCCGCTCTGGGACAACCATGAGAGCTTGGCATGATAGAGGTACGAGTATGAGAGCCGAGTCTTGGATGCGCTGTGACGTCAGTGCCCGAACTTTAGCGCCACGCTGATGCCAACAACCGGTCTCTGTCGGTTGTGCCTTTACGTGCCTTGGCTATGATGCTCATCCACTGAGGTGTTTGTCATTGCGTCCGGCTGATGGCGTTGCGGTCACACCGCCGCGTTTACGCGATCGCTCGTAGTGTTGGGCGTTTCCTCTTTCAGCATCGGTGACTCCTGAATGTTGAGCAGCAGAAGACTGTAAACGCCTTGGTCGCGGTGTGCCTGGTTGCAGGTTCAACTTCGTGTACCAGTAGCGCGCCAGTCGCCGCGTGACGCCACCTCGCACTGCTCTCGCCGGCGGCACTACTGCGTTGTGTTGGGGCGGGCAGCGGCACGCTGCCGCCGCGGGACAACGCGCCGCATTCATCGCGACCGCACCGACTAACGGCGACGGTCGTCTCATCTGGGCGAGGCCGGACCTGAAGATCATCGCTTTGTTTCGCTCATATTAAAACGAAGGCGCGTGGTTTGTATCAGTGTGATTCCTTGCGCGGGCATGCTGTGTGCATCTTTCGTGTCGTGGTTTACTGACCGTCGTGGCTCTCCTTTTGGCTCGCCGGAATCCACCTTGTATAAGCTGGACGTGTTACACGGCCTAGTTCGTGGCAAATAAACCAATGCAGCAACGTGATACTTTGGTCTCATTCGCGTTAAAAGCTCGTTCGACCGCCGTTGCCCATTTGAGAGCTATGGGATTAAAGAGAGAGAGAGAGAGAGAGAGAGAGAGAGAGAGAGAGAGAGAGAGAGAGAGAGAGAGAGAGAGAGAGAGAGTGAGAGAGTGAGAGAGTGAGAGAGTGAGAGAGAGAGAGAGAGAGAGAGAGGAGAGAGAGAGAGAGGAGAGAGTGAGAGAGTGAGAGAGTGAGAGAGGAGAGAGAGAGAGAGAGAGAGAGAGAGAGAGAGAGAGAGAGAGAGAGAGAGAGAGAGAGAGAGAGAGAGAGAGAGAGAGAGAGCTGGGGTGTGGACCAGCGGTCCCCTAGGTTTGCCACCGCCACTAAGCGTCACGCTGCGCAGGGACCTTACCTCGGGGCTCGGGCGGGTGCCCGGGGCACTGCTGCCAGGATGGGTGTATGGCCGACTGGCAAGGAGCGGGCGCAGCTAAGCAGTCAGTACGACAGAGCGTCGCGAAAATATAAGACAACATGGCAAGCAAGTCAACGGGGTGCCTTAATAACATTTATAATTTGCGTTTCCTGTCACTTGCAGAGTAAGACACCGTGCGTCACCAGTCGGCCGAATAAAGGGAAATGGGAGGTCGACAAATAGTGTAAAAATCACACCACTGACACGCATAATAGCGGACAGACGCACGTAAACGTGGCTACCCAGAGAGCCCCCGCTGCACGGCGGTCGGTCGTGGACAGCCAAACTGAGCCATATCGCCGGTACGCCCCAGATGACAGCGTGTCACCGCGCTGGCCGCGGCCGCCGGCGGGCCGCGCGCGCCTGTCTAAATCGAACACTGCCTGTAATTAGATGGGCTGATCGGCGGCGTGATGGGGCGCGCCGCGCGCGCCGGCCGCGGCCGGGGCGTGCCCTGGCGAGGCCGGCGGCGTGCCGGCCCCGGCCGTCGCAAGCGACTAGAAACGCCGTCACCGGCCGGCCGTCGTGCCGCGGCACGGCCGGGCCACGGCGGCCGGCGGCGGCGAGCTGGGTGCGACGGCTGAGGACTGACGGCGGTCAACGAGAGGCAACGCTCGACCTCGAATGACACCAGGAGGGCGGAGGAGGCGCCACTGCCCCCCCCCCCCCCCACGCAGACGCAGCCACCTCCCGGCGGAACCGGGCCGGGTGTCCGTGGTGTGGTGCGGGCTCCGCTGTGGTGCGGCATGGTCTCCACCGTGGTACGGCACGGATTCCTTGGTGGTTTAGTTAGCATCACAGCTCGCTGTCCCAGTCTATTAGTTTAACGCTAAAAACTGCAGCTATATAACTGCCATCCGCTGTGCTGTTGTCCTGCCGAGATCGGAGGGATAGATCGCGACGTAATAACCACAGCAGTTGCATGGCACTCGCCAACCACGTTTTCGCCAACCACGCCAACAACAACAACGGAGTTTTCTGCGCGTGCCCTGAACCCACCACCCGATTCATTCCATGAGTAGGGGGCTAGGGGCGATCGTGAGCCATGGCAATCCAATTCACCACACAGTTTTGCCCGCGGCCTTTGCCGGACCGCTGCGGGCGTCGAATGTATCGTGCAGTGTCGTCGCGCGATCGGCGTGGGCCAGGTCGACGCTCGTGGGCCAGCTGCCAACCGGCCTTCCCATGTCAAACTGAGCCGGCCCGATCTGGGTCTGCCCCATTATGCCCTGGGGTTTTTGATCCGCTACATTTGGGTTCAGGATCTTCCCCACGGTCACAAAGGTGGCGTTATTTAGTCCATTCGTTGCTCGTGTCGTTTTTTCGGTCCTGAAACGAGAACCACTCGGCCGCTCTGAGGCATTTAGCTAAGCCCTTGTGGTTTGAAACCCTGTTTGGGTTTTGTCGGTGTCTATGCCGACCAATGACCAATGCATATAATCGTCTGTGCAGAAACGTTTGAAAATATTGTTCGCTCTCAAATCCACTTTCCTGGCGGCTTAAGAACACTGCGTGAGGTGACCTTGGTCTGATCAGTTTGTGTAAAAGACTGTTGACCATGTTGCGATGAAAAGGCTATAGAAGGGGAGACCCACGCTCTTGTCGGGAAGCTATATGCCACCGGTCACCTGAGATACACAAGGACTTTGTGACATACCTTCGTACTCAAAAATCGCTGAGCCAATTTCTGGGCGGCCAGCAGCAAACGATACAGGATATGTCATTCGTCAACGTCAAGCTGGCTGCATCACCTCTCTCCGAATGCCTGCGGATATAATAATCTCTCATCTCTCTGCGAATACCTCTCCGAACCCTTGAACTTCCGGATGCTGCGAATCCACCCTCCGGGACTAACCGGGATCGCTGAATGTCGCTTCAGCGTGCTAGCCTGTATGCTGCACATGTTCATTACAATATGATGGCCAGCATACTGGGCCGACATTACAGAGAACCGCGTTCGAGTCAAGTTGATTGATCCCAAGTTTTCCGCTCTATCTTGCGAACAATATCACCATGCTGCAAAGTGGCCATTAGGGAATTCTGGCTCATTAAAGTTTAACTAGCTGGATGACAAATAGGGTTACGCGAACAGTGATATTTCCAGCCAGAAAACCCAAAAAACCCGGATACGTTTTTCTATACACGACGGGGCTGCCACTTCTGTAAAGTTCACGTGAGCCAACATTGCTGGAAATGAACGTGAAACGAAATCAAGCACTTGTCACATCCCGACGTCTAGCTTGGTACCAGCGTTCACCGAGCGCCCTACAACTAAAACACGCCTACTTCAATTGTCCGTTATAATTGGGGCCTTCTCTCTGCCAGAACGAGAACCTCTTTCCACTCACGGCTGCTCGTAATTATAACGACCTCTATTTAATCTGGAGAATGCTCTCCTTACTGCGCAAGTTCATTTTCATCAGGAGTACGAACGCGTGTCGCCTGCCACACCACGGACCGCAGTCACACGTTATATCTAGTACACGAGGGGACATTTTCCCGGTGCTACGGAGGCCTCCTGGTGTATCTTGGCTTGCCAGCGAACAAGTCTTATCTTTTGGGGGGCTTCCTCTCATGTGTACGCAAACAAGCCTTTGAGAACATGTCGCCGTTAGTCGGAACTGGTGCCGGAACGTGTGATAAGCTGACAAGAGAGTTCAGAGTGGCAAGAGTTAAATATTCACATTCAGCAGAAATGAGCGCCCCCTTCGATTTTGCTCAAACGTGGCACACAGCTAGTCAAGTGCTCCCCAACCAACAAGATGAGCGAACTCCCCTTTCATTCAGAAGTTTGACCTCCAGGGGTCACCAAAGGTTGGAATCAAATCAGGCAGCCGTTTCGTCGTTTTCTATGTCATTCGATCTGTCTGCAGGAAAAGTCCGAAAGCGTACAATTCAGTTAAGTGAGTAGCATTAACAGTGCACTGCCGCCAACCTAAATGGGAACAATCTGGAAATCTGGAAATCGTCTCGGCCGCTCTTGCACCACATCGCCATAACGGCACACCTGGCGAGTAATGATGTCATGTACAGAAGCGATCCCGTGGCAAGGTTCCTCCGATGCTTCGAAGTGTTCGGTTTGAAGTGGCCCAACCAGAAAGCTGGTGACCTCCAGGGGTCACGATATGCCACATCGATGTTGGGCATTGGCCAGGAGATCTTTAATACCAGCAAACCTTTGACGTTTGTTGCATTGAAATGCGTCTAAGGCGCTTTAAGTGCTGCTCTGATGACACACCAGCAGGAAGGTCACAACAGGTCATGTCAGCTCCTGCCAGAGGTCGACACAAACCGCATGCCAACGGAAAGTTCTAATTAGCCCGATATTCTCGACACGCCCTATTGTGAACGGACGTTTGAAAAATAATGGGACACATTTTCTCATCACGGGCATATTTGTGGAGTGGGTGAAGAGGGTAGGCGTGTGAGCGTATAAGGCGATGTCAGAGCGCTATTTGTACAACAATGGACCTTCAGTCCCAACGAGCTACCCCCAATGCTCCTTAAACAGCTCGTCTCTGTTTCTGGGCTTTTATATTCCACCCATTATCTGCTCGTTTAGAAAATGTTTTATGGTGTCGGTGGCCGGTGCTTCAGGCTGAAGTGACTACCAGCGCAGATCCTGCCACTGACCCGCCGACCACTGACACTGGCTCGTCACCGGCAACACCCGTGACCAGCTGACCCCGCCAGTGACACCAGGCGTGGTCAGCTGGCTCTCCGTGAACTGCAGCACGCGTGATCAGCTGGCTCATCACCGCCAACGCCCGTGTTCAGCTGGATCACCGCCGACGACACCAGGCGTGGTCAGGTGACCCATCACCGCCAACACCCGTAACCAGCTGGATCACCGCCAATGACACCCGGCGTGGTCAGCTGGCTCTACGTCGACTGCAGCACGCGTGATCAGCTGGCTCGTCACCTCCAGCACCCTTGACTAGCTGGCTCGCCGCCGATGACAACAGGCGTGGTCAGCTGGCTCGCCGCTGTCACCAGTGCGTGCCGTCGGCCGGCGGCGCTCAGTGGGTGGCGAGGCGCGATCCTGCCCAGTTGGACCTCGACCCAGCAGCCATGACGGTGAGTGGGCTCACCCGCCGGCGGGGGGAGACAGACCGCTATGTGGGCGGCCGTCGCCGGCGGCTGCCACGGGGGGGGGGGGGGGCAGACCGTCCCCTGCGAGCTAGCCATCGACGATGACCGTTGGCAGTGCTGGGGCGCGAGGACAACAAAGTCGTTGAACGTCCGTATGATGAGGCTCAGTATCAAAGGTGAGAGAAGGCAACACTGAAAGGCGATGTCTACATCGGCCGCCTGGTGTTGCCACGCACCTCCGCGTCTCCGTGGTTCCCGCTCGGTGACCAGCATCAGCAGACGCGATGCTTGTCCCGTTCGCTGTTGACGCTGATCTAACTCGAAATATTTTTGCCAGCCTTCAGCAAAACAAAGACCGTCGTTGGGATTCGCGCGTGGGCGGCCGGCCCGCGGTCCCGTCTCCGCGTTCTGCACGGCGTCGGCCGTCTGAGTACGGGGAAGGGTCAGCGACGCCCCTGACCTCGAGCCGAACACAGAGCCCAGCGGGGATCTTCCCCGGGGCGTGCGGACTCGTTGGGACTCCCGCACTGTGCTCTCCTGGACCCCGTGAAGCCCTTCCAGAGCGGTTTTTTGGTACGGCGGCTGGTGGAGCCACCAAGATGGGCAGCTCTTCCGCAGCCGTCCACCTCGGTACGGAGCGGTGTGGCCGTTCCCGGCAGGTCACCTCGCCCTTCGACGCCTCTGCCACTGCAGCTGAGGATCCCCTCGCCCTTCGGCGCCACTGCCACTGCAGCTGAGGATCCCCTCGCCCTTCGGCGCCACTGCCACTGCAGCTGAGGATCCCCTCGCCCTTCGACGCCGCTGCCACTGCAGCTGAGGATCCCCTCGCCCTTCGGCGCCACTGCCACTGCAGCTGAGGATCCCCTCGCCCTTCGGCGCCGCTGCCACTGCAGCTGAGGATCCCCTCGCCCTTCGGCGCCGCTGCCACTGCAGCTGAGGATCCCCTCGCCCTTCGGCGCCACTGCCACTGCAGCTGGGGATCCCCTCGCGCTTCGGCGCCTCTGCCACTGCAGCTGAGGATCCCCTCGCGCTTCGGCGCCTCTGCCACTGCAGCTGAGGATCCCCTCGCGCTTCGGCGCCTCTGCCACTGCAGCTGAGGATCCCCTCGCGCTTCGGCGCCGCTGCCACTGCAGCTGAGGATCCCCTCGCCCTTCGACGCCGCTGCCACTGCAGCTGAGGATCCCCTCGCCCTTCGGCGCCGCTGCCACAGCAGCTGAGGGTTCTGATTCGCAGGAGTCGGATAGATTTGGATAGATTTGGGTCATGCGGACCCTCAAATCCTAAACAACTACGATTCTAACTCTGGAAATAAGAATGCAATATTACAGATCACAGCGAGTCATACAAGTCATCATGTAAATATGCAATAAAATGTGTGAAATGCTGCTTGGGTTCACATATCCCGAAAATGAAATAACCACAATGCGTAAATGTGAGTTTTGCGTCGGAGTGGTCGGCTGTCCGTTTTCATTTCATTGTGGTTGTCTGATATTTCGATGCAAAAATTGAATGTATTTGAGTCTCGAATCCGGATTCACGTACCCTAGGACTTGGGCTCCAAAATGCTGCGAGTCCTCATCTCTAGCTGCGACCCATCCCAGTCGTGTACCGCTTCCGCGACCAGCCCCCCGCCGCGCCATTGCGGCTACATAATTGGCGCGAGTGGCACGGCGGGGCGCGCCACCCGGGAGAGGTGGGGGTCGGAGGTCACGGGGAGCGGCCGGCCGCGTGCCGCGACAACTGCCAGCAACGGAACAACTGCGGGGAGGGCGGGGCGGCGGAGCAGCGGGCCGAGCCGAGCCACTGCAGCCGCGGGCAGGCCGGGTCGCCGCCGGCCGGCCCGGCGCAGGGGCGCCAGCCGGGCTTTAGGCGCGCGCCCAGCGGCCACCGACCGGCCAGTGAACCCACACCCTTTTTATGTTCCGTTGGCGTGACCTCTAACCGGGAGATGTCCGGCGCTCCACCCGGCGGCCTCTGTGGCCTCCAGGAAGGCTTCCTACGGCCGCCCTTCAAGTGAGAGCGATTCGTGTGCTCGAGGTCGATACGCTGGCGTCACTGTGCGTGTGTGCGTGTCTGCGTGTGTCAGCTCAACTGCTTGCCTCAGCTGTCACTCACTGCATCTGCCTCCATTTGGGAATCGTGGTCTATCTTGCACTGTCCTGGTCTGGCCGGACACGACGCGACCTGACAGGGCCCGATTCGACGCGACCTGACAGGGCCCGATTCGACGCGACCTGACAGGGCCCGATTCGACGCGATCTGACAGGGCCCGATTCGACGCGACCTGACAGGGCCCGATTCGACGCGACCTGACAGGGCCCGATTCGACGCGACCTGACAGGGCCCGATTCGACGCGACCTGACTCGCCCGAGGCGGTCCGACGGAAGATGTGGCTCGACACCTGACTGGCGTGACTCGAGCTGGGAGGACCTGACTCGAGTGCAGCAGGTCTGACAGAGCAGCCAGACTTGACCCCCGTGCCCCGGCCCGGCTGGATCGGCTCTACTCGCCATGTCTCGTCTTGACTCGGCTGGATCTGACCGGTCCGTGCAGGCCGAGGCCCGACCAGAACAGACCAGACCTGCTGGGGCGTGACTTGACTGACCTGATGAGGCGTGGCTCGACTGACCTGCTGGGGCGTGATTAGACTGGCCTGGCCACTCCTGACCCGCAGGCCGAGGCGCGAACAGAATAGACCACACCTGCTGGGGCGTGACTCGACTGGCATGGCCACTCCTGACCCGCAGGCCGAGGCCCGACCAGAACAGACCAGACCTGCTGGGACGTGGCTCGACTGGCCTGCTGGGGCGTGACTCGACTGGCCTGGCCACTCCTGACCCGCAGGCCGAGGCCCGAACAGGTCAGACCAGACCTGTTGGGACGTGGCTCGACTGGCCTGCTGGGGCGTGACTCGAGTGACCTGCTGGGGCGTGACTCGACTGGCCTGGCCACTCCTGACCTGCGGGCTGAGACCTGACCAGAACAGACCAGACCTGCTGGGACGTGGCCCGACTGATCTGGCCTCTCCTGACCTGCTCCAGGGCTGGACCGAGCGGAACCAGATCTGTTCCAGCAGGGCTGAACTCGGCCCTGACTATTCCAGAGCATCCTCATTCAGCCGCGGCTAGCCAGCTGAAGGCGGCTGCAGCTATGGAAAGGATGCATAGCACACTCCGCGTATGCCCTTAAAAGTGGTGACTCGTTGGAATCAGATCAGAACTGTTTGGTGATGTCACACAGTCATAGCGTTCTGGTAACAAGACTATTTTTGTCATACTTGTCATCTTGAGCGTAATGGAGAAGTAAGGTACATTGCCTCCTTTTTGCTCTAGTTGACATACTCTACGCAAGTGTGCTCCTGTTTCCCACACCACCGTGAAACTGTCACCATCAATGTCACAGTTTGACGGCTGACACTCCGGAATAAGACCGCATCATCTCACGATTACCGTGCTCCGTCAAACACATCGGCTCTTCCGCCGTTCCAGCCCGCTGTATGTAAACCGTGCGGCGGTTAGTTGTGACGTTATTGGACGTGACACGCCGACGTTATGGCCGTCACGGCGCAACTCATGGCCAGCTGGGAGTGTGTGCGATGCAGGGCGTGACATTACGTTATTGCAAATGCAGGCGAGCACTTAGCGGCGCATCCCATGCGTTGCCGAGAGCTTGAGATGACACCAGCCCAATCTCCAAGCCGGGATGTTTGGGGCTGTAAAGAACGGTTTGTGATTCACCCACGGCACCGCCTTGCAGCGGCACGACAGCGGTGTTCGCGTGTTTGATTGTACAACACCGATATGAAGCCAAAATATCTACCAAAATAGCCAAAATAGTGTGATGATCTTGGTCGTTCCATTTCCACAACGGGGCTTATCAGTGCGCTACATCGCGCTGCGATATCGCACTCGTGATTTCACGATTCCTGTGGAATGGCGCGCCTTTTTCGGTTGGGTACTACGCAAATGCGTTGCAAGACCCGTTTGCATCTGCGGACCTGGCGAGGCTTGCGCCATTTTAGTTTGGGGACATCTAACTTCGTTTGTAACTTGATGGTTTACATCATGCCCCCGCTGTTAAGCAATAGACTGACGCCTACGCTAGTGTAGGGATAAATGGCGCGTATCTACATTGGTCGTCTGACAGACGGCCCCAACGACAAAGCATTCCCTGACATCCAGCAGAGATTGCGAACTTCCTCGTACCAGAAAACGCTGTCACTGTTTCAGACATTCTAAGCCTACGGTATTGTTCTGAGAGCATTGTGTGAGCTGGGAGGGAGTTTGCTGGTAGAACTGGTGCGAACTTCTTCAGTTGGCACCACGTGACTGCCTTCTGAGGCCGGGACGATCGTATTCTCGAATACGTAGCTGACGCTTACGCTTCCTTGCCACAGGAGGTGATAGGCAAAGAGCAGCTGGAAAGTAAGGCGCCCCTGCACATGGTGGAAAGAGCCGAGACATGCCTGGCGTTGGTACACCGTGTTTGGCCAGTAGCGTAGCGATGATGTGAAATCACCACGTATACAGGACGATGTAAGGGCGCTAGAATAGACACCACACAGAGTGCTGCTCACCAGACAAATAGCACCTCGGTTAAACACCCCGACTAAGACACGCAGTGCCGGACATGCAGTCTCCAGGCTAGACATCAGCTGGGAGACACTGTATTAGACACACCGCGCCCCATCCTTGCATCAGGTGAGGTTGTTCATACACCCGGTGCGGTCCAAGCAGATACTCACGCGATGTGCCTCGGGAATGGGGGTGGGGCACTCTTCATTAGTTTCGTATTACAGCGTGCTTACTAATCATTAGCGTGAGGCCGATAGAAATGTGCAGATGTGATTTCCAACTCGAACTGAGCTGGCTTTTGGAGTTCGCTAACATTTTTGGAAAGTGGCACCCGTGGTCTGACCACTGCTCAAAGTTATCCCTTGCTTCCCCTCGCTCCTCGCTGTCTCCTGCGGCTTGTGTTGTTTGAGACCGTGAGCTAAATGTTAGGATGCTGGTCTGTCTCCACCGTGCGTCGAGAGCGAGGCCTAGCCGGGCGGCACTTTTGTATGGCATTTTACAACAGTGCGGCTGGCTTCCTTGATTTACATCACGCAATGTATTATTATTTTAAACGGACTAGGTGGGAAAACAGTGTTTCATGTTTATAACGTGCTGCAGCGCGGGCTTGCGTCATTACGTCTATATATACACATGACGTCATTACGTCTATATATACACGGTGTGACGCATTCTTAGGTGTGATTAACTGAGTGTAATCTTATCGTAGGTGCAGTACAGCACATACATATCTTTGTTCTTTTAGGTTCTTTTGTCGGATTGTTTTTGCCTGCTCATCATCACCATTATGAGCGAAAGGTTGATGAACTTTACCCATTCCGTTTGTAGCAGGTGGTGTTTCGTAATTGCATTCAGCTATTAGTTTGTCAATGGCTGACCCGAAGCACATGGCTGTACAGCGTGTGCTGGCCGACGCTGGTGCATTTGTACCATTCACTGCGCTAGTGCCGCTGCTGACCGAGTGGCTGTCCGCACGGTCGCATGCTTAAACTGGCGTCCGTTTCGCAAAATGGCACATCTGCGTTAATGACGGCTATATTAAGACGCGCAAATTAAAAACCAATCGGCTGACGATTAGGGGGTCATTCAACCTCAATAATGTACAGTACATTACATTATTTTAGTCTCCTGTCTTGTTGCCACGGCGCGGGAGAGACGAACAGCGAGACATAACTTTACAAATCTGTTGCGAGAATGGTGTAAACTCCCAGATCAGATGTAGGCTTGTTCAAGTGCTTTGTTCAGAGCCTCTTCGATCAGGATGATCATTTCGAAAATGCTCACTTTTTTAGCCCAGGTTATTTCCAAAGGTGGTACAAGTCGGCGGACGGAACTAAAACATATTTGCAGGTGCTGGACACCAAGTACTTAGTCGATATTTCACTTAATATTTCGCCTCATATTAATGTGTGGCCGTGTCTATCATTAAGCTTGTTGTCTATAGCTCCGCTGACATGATCCTGTAACATGCCATACATAAAGTCGCCTACAGAGAGAGCTCTTCGCGGATTGGATGCATCTGGATATCTGAGATGAATCCATGGGCTGGTCTAAACTGGTCAGGAAGTTTCCCAAAATTATTCGGTTGGAGAGCTGCGATTGTGGGGTCTGACTGGATTCACAAACTGCGAGCCAGCTTGATCGGGTTGTGTTCGTCACGCTCGTTCACCTCTTACATCAGCACCTCACACCCGGCAGTGCTTAAGAAGGCGTTCTCCATGTTTGACCAGAAGAAGACGGGCTCCATCGAGGTCAGCAAGGTGGCCGCCATCCTCAACACCATGGGCCAGCAGTTCGACGACGACGAGCTGAAGACGCTGTGCGAGAGCAAGGCCAAAGGTAGCGCCCGGCGCTGAACAGCGCAGGCGGGGTCAGGCCGTGCAGTAGGGCAGAGCAGCTGTAGGCAGGGGTTATCACCGGCGCATTCGACGCGGGCTTCGCACGGCACAACGCGTCGGTTGGAGCGTCACAGCCAGCGCTGGCTGGCAGAGCTTGCGGCTCACTTGTTTACTGGCGAGTGCGGGGAGCGCTGCGATCGCCCCGGGCCGGCCCCGTTTCCAATGGTGGCGGCGACCCGAGCTCATTGGCCCGTGATTGGGCCGTCACGAGTCGGAGTCTGCGGCGATGACGGACGGGCCGAGAATCGGAGCCTGACGCGAGGTCGCCGCCGATCGTCGCGGGCCGCTCGCGAGTCGTCACATCGCACCACAGTGTCGGGCCGTCGTCCGGCGCCACCGCGCTGCCGTCACGGACACCGTCGGCTCGTGCTGCTCCACTTCGAGGCGGCGGGGCGCGGGCCACGTCTCGAAGTGGATCGCCGCGGGCGAGACGCGCGCCGCCGCCTCGAGACGGGCAGCCGGCTCGTCTACTGTTGGGCAGGGCTAGCCTGCACCAGCCTGCAGGCTTTGACATACCTACGCCCCTCACACTCAAGGCATGCCTGTATCAAGGGACATTTGAAGCGTGGAAAAGATATGTATGATGGGTGCCCTTAGCACTGGACGTGTAGTCGTCGGCGTCGCTGAGCCATTTGAGCTGGCACTAAGATTACCTGGTAACGTAATATCGTGGGTTTATAAGCTTTAGTGAAACGTTAGAGGCAATTTCTAAACAACTATGCTTTCCCTGACTGTATCTTCCACTGTTTTTTGCTTTTGGCGATTTCAGAAGTACCGAATATGTCATCCCGGACTGTACAATTTCTCTGTTTTGCCGTTACCCATTTTTCGGAAACCATATAGAAAAAAATTCCGCGATGCCAACAACAATTATGTAGACGACTCTTACCGCACGAGAGAAGTGTGAACTCAGCTTCAGTTTTTCAGTTTTCCAGTCTTTGTCAGTTTTCTGCAGAAACTTGCAGCAACAAAATTGCAAGTTGCCAGGTTTCACAACTGTCTATACAGCGCAAAATGTTGTAAGATTTTCAGGGCTGACCTCAAAGGATCTTCGGATATGTTGGCGTCGATAACAAGCTATTACGTCATGATATCTGGGATATCTTGTAGTTGAGCTTGATGTCATCGGGTTGCTCGAGACTCGTGTTACTCAACGTATGCGTGTATAGGCTGCTCGAGATGGACAACCTGCCCACAACAATTCATGAATGCTGAATCATTTAAGTACATACCCGTGGATGATCCCCCTTAACACTTAAATCGTGGGATGGCTTTCGTAATCGCTTATGTGCGTGGTCCGGCTGCGCCTGCCATCCAACCGTCCGTCGTCCTTGCTCGTGCATTAAATGGCAGCGCACAGCGACGAGGGTCGTCGCTGTGCGTGCCGGCAGAAGAAAACTGGACATCGACAGCTGTGTTACTGTGCGTGCCCGCAGAAGGGAAGCTGGACTTCGACAGCTTTGTCAGCGTGGCATCAAACTTCCTAGAGGAGGAGGATGACGAAGCGATGCAGCAAGAGTTGAAGGAAGCGTTCCGTCTGTACGACAAGGAAGGTTCGCATGATCTGGGCTTTCTGTCTTTTCTAGTCTCTGTATCTTTTGATGCCTTTTCTGGCATTCGGTTAAGTAGATCGGCTGTGACCTCTTGCCGCCTTTGCCGACCTACTCTTCCACATTATGTCCCATGCTCATGAGGAGGCCGATTCATGTCCAGTCGGGTAAGCCCAAAGGAAATGTTCCGCATTTTAAGATATTGAGGTAAGCATCAGATATGATGAAATAAACTCAGTTGTAACCATTGGCATGCTTTTAAGTCAAGGCCTAATGCGGACAACAAAATTGCACTACTTGGTAAATTAGCTCTTCGTTACGTCGTCGTTTCATTACGTCATGGAACATTTCTATGACGTCAGAGTCGCTGTTAGACTGGGCGTGTCAGAATCGCTTCTGTAGCCGTCGGGCTGACTCACTTGTAATACTTCAGCCTGCCGTGGTGCGCGTGCTGGCGCATGTGGTGGAGGATGATGGCCACTCGTAGCCACTAATGCCATGAATTACGCTGACGTACGCCAGACACGAATAATTCGACGGTCATATTTGTTCTTGGTCTTGAGCACAATGCCCATGAGGTGGCGGTATCTGTGTGACGTTTGTGTGGCGTCAGGAATGTCTGGGCGACATTAACGTAGTCTGCCCATGTTCGTGAGCGTCAACCTGTGAAACAAGGAGCTTAAGCCTGAAGGATTATGCTCCACATTTGAAGATATTAAAGCAAGCACCAGATGTGATGAAATAAGCTCACTTATAACTACCGGTTCAGTTTTCAGTGGACAAGGCTGCTCTAGAAAACACCACCCTCTGTTTTGTAAATATGCTCCTCAATACGTCATGGTTTGATTACGTCATCGTACCTCGCACAACATTAATTGAGAGCCAATGGGCTGCCGGTATATCTGGACATTGTGTTCACGAACGTTAGATGTAAGCGACTCGACAACTACATACTTCTGAGCTCCGATAACCGTATGGCCAATGGAATGGCAGGATTTGAATAACATTTCACGTTATTATGACGTCATGAATGCCTGGGTGACCTTGATATAGTCTCCCCAAATAGTATGCTCATCTTCGCGGACGTCTAGCTCAGAAACTAGATGGATTTATGTCTGAAGAAGGCTTAAGGCTGTGAACTGCACCGAATGATCTTGAATATGTCAATTTCAGTTTGCAAACGGGAACACTCCTTTTAACAACGGCATGACTATGAACTACACTGAGTAATTTTCAAAACCCCGTGCGAATGCGGAGCGCTCCCTTTAAGCGTTATCACGAGGCGGCGATGGCGCGGCTTGATACGACGCGCCGCTCTGCTGACCCTCCAGGGAACGGCTACATCACGACCCAGGTGCTGAAGGAGATCTTGAAGGCGCTGGATGACAAGCTGACCCCCGACGACCTGGACTGCATCGTGGAGGAGGTGGACACGGACGGCTCGGGCACGCTCGACTTCGATGGTACAGTACTACTGGTTACTAGAGCAAAATGATGGATAGTAATGGATGGTAAAGACTGGCTGGTACCATTGATCTCCATCGTTCGAGGCGTAACAGAACGCCATTGTACAGAAACCTTTCTACATGGGTAACCACCGGTCGAGTTTTGCCGTATCCGGCATTAGCCGAGAGCTGGCGCTGGCCATTTCATCTCGCAGTCATAATGTTTTGCATCTCTTGCAGTGAAGCCGTATATCGTGGAGCTGTTTGGGACTTGGTGCCGCGAAGATGATGGTCGTGATGTTGCTTGGCATGTTTGCAGAGTTTATGGAGATGATGACGGGCTAGCTGAGGCCACGGCAGCTTGTGTCAACACTGCGCTCCGGTAAGTCCGAATACTGGACGGAAACTCGTCGCCTCGTATTCACGTAAAACACACTGCATTAGTTTGTCGCATTTTAACCAGATGAAGACCACCTCCACTGCAATACCGCGTATGTGTCGGGAATCCGCTGCGCGCAGCTCTGTGTGGCCAGATCTGTGGCCAGATCTGCCTTCGCGCAGCTTCACTCCCGGAGCAATGCGGCCTCACTAGCGATCCCGCAGC